ACGTCACGTCCGACTCACGTCCGGATACAAACACCGGAGTAGAGCAGCGTCATACACAAGGTAACTCTATTCCTTAACAAAACAATAATCACTGTTAGCATGAGGAGCTAGGTAGCTGGTTGTCTGATCTTTAAGTGCTCTACCAAAATGAGTGCTTCTAAACATATACTACTGTGCTTCCCGTCTCCACTTGTTATACACTACAGTACTGTACTCTAGGCTCAGTGAGGGTCCCATCTTTATCTTAGTTCCTCCCCGCGTCACCAGGGCAAGGCTCGGCTACGCCAAATATGAATGTCACAAAAACATAATAATCTTTTTCTTGAGTGAGTTTGGAACACAACTTGAAAATATCACAACATTGTTAATATCACAAAGAGAAACAGTTTGTGCCTTTGATTCACTTGAAAATTATACAAATGATAAGAAAAATAAGAAGAAATAGGAAAGTTATTATGCAGATACAAATAATTTCCAAAATAAATACTTTTCTAATGAGGATTTTTTTTTTTGTGAACAATTACATGAGAAAAAAAATATATAAATGATAATGTTACACCCTGCATACCACAACAGCAGAGCACCATAACACTTCATGGAATATTACATACAAAAATATCAATTTCTATGAAAGAGGCGGAGTTTCCATGAAGAGAACACGTTGGAATAAAAAATACCTCCCTTACTGCCGTTACTTCCAACACTGAATGATGGGATGGGAAAAAATGAAACAAGTCTAGAGTAAAGAACAGAGAGAATTACATACAGACACCATGTTATTTTTTTTTTCTGGGCCACTAATCTGGGTAATTATCAGGGTAATGGGGACATCAAGTTATACAGCGAACACACTGCCGACAACTCTTAAAGACACTGCTTGAGATCTCGCAACATCTGTTATTTTTATTTATTTTCTCAACTAAAAAAATATATAAATAAATAACCGCGTCGATTCGTTGACGCAGTCCGCTACTTTGACTCGACTGTTGCAAACTGACTCGACTAGACTGTTGCTCATTCCGCTCTCAAGAGGTGTGTGTAAGAATTCCGGCCACCGTCCTACAATTGTTACCCTCGGCTGTTTACAGGAGGACACATCCGAGGCTACGGGCGTTCTCCCGGCCGTAGCCCCCTCACTGAGCAGGTATTTATTGGTGACAGGATCCCGTCACTAATAAAACACTCTACTATTATGCACTCTCTAGGGACCCTCAGAATGGAAAGAAGCTGAAACGTTGAATTTTCTGAGAGTAACACCGGTCAAATATGCTGTGTCTGCTGCTTACCCTTTAACATACGTTCCTATCCCCCCTCCAATCATCCTATCCCCCCTCCAATCATCCTATCCCCCCTCCAATCATCCTATCCCCCCCTCCAATCATCCTATCCCCCCTCCAATCATTCTATCCCGATGTGCCGCGGCTTCTCAGGTGAATGGCGACGTGGCAACAGGTAGAATCGTTTGTTGTTTTTAATGTGGTTTTTTTTTCTTCCAAAGCCTAGACAAACAGAGCATCATTGTGAGGTTACATACACTGTTTATAAGCCAAAAACAAAATAAACTTCAAATACATTATATAATACTGTAGCCTTTTACAATAGTGTGTTACAATAAATAAAAGCAAACAATTTAAACCCCTAGGTGTTAAAAATCCCGACATAAACACGAGCGATATAATCTCATCTGGACGACCGTTTTTCAAAGCAGTTATTCAAGCATATTTTTTTATCATTTTTTTATATTTATTTCCCCTTTAATAAACACACTGCATGATGATTTATGTTAGACTTATGTTAAAAAATATATATACAGGGTGTCCATAAATGATTACCCCGATTAATTAAACCATTTCTGTAATATTAAAACAGCTCTCAGTTAAACCATTTCTTCTATTGATAAAGCTCTCAGTTAAACTATTTCTGTACTATTAAACTATTATACCCAAAACAGTAGTAACCTTCATTATATAACAGATGTGACCCTAAACGTCTTTTATTCCTAATTATCATCGTTACCATCATCAACGTTTTATGGCCATTTTCCATGATTTACGATATTAGTACAAAATTGGCAGCTGGTCACCTCAGAGTGCCTCATATGCAATACCTCACAGATTACCATGGAGAACGCGCTAATGCCTGTATTGATGCCAGAAACACCATCCTCGCTTGTGGCAGATCCTGGACGTCGACCACCGAAGGAAATGTTGCTGTGATACGACCCTTTAAGCGATCTTCATAAAATTTTCTCTAAGGTAGTGTGTGTTTTTCTGAGATGCCCTGAATCTTAAGCTTAGTTCTATGATCTTCACTGAATCTTAAGCTTAGTTCTATCTTCACTGAATCTTGAAGCTTAGTTCTATGATCTTCACTGAATCTTAAGCTTAGTTCTATGATCTTCACTGAATCTTGAAGCTTAGTTCTATGATCTTCACTGAATCTTAAGCTTAGTCCTATGATCTTCTTGAAGCTTGATGATCTTCTTGAAGCTTAGTCCTATGATCTTCACTGAATCTTAAGCTTAGTTCTATGATCTTCACTGAGTCTTGAAGCTTAGTTCTATGATCTTCACAGAATCTTCAAGCTTAGTCCTATGATCTTCACTGAATCTTGAAGCTTAGTCCTATGATCTTCACTGAATGTTGAAGCTTGGTCCTATCATCTTCACTGAATCTTGAAGCTTAGTCCTATGATCTTCACTGAGTCTTGAAGCTTAGTTCTATGATCTTCACTGAATCTTGAAGCTTAGTCCTATGATCTTCACTGAATCTTGAAGCTTAGTCCTATGATCTTCACTGAATCTTGAAGCTTAGTCCTATGATCTTCACCGAACTTTGAAGCTTAGTCCTATGATCTTCACTGAATCTTGAAGCATAGTCCTATGATCTTCACTGAATCTTGAAGCTTAGTCCTATGATCTTCACCGAACTTTGAAGCTTAGTCCTATGATCTTCACTGAATCTTCAAGCTTAGTCCTATGATCTTCACTGAATCTTGAAGCTTAGTCCTATGATCTTCACTGAATCTTGAAGCTTTTAAACCTATCTTTACATTACCCTAATTTTTCCCTGCATCCCGTCCTTGCCTACACCTCAGGTCGCTCCTCCACCATAATATTAGTCGAGTGAATCTGTCTTCCCATAAAAGAATCTATTTCAATCACTTCCCAGAATTAGTATAGATAAAGACACCAGCTATAAATTAATTAGCAGATTAAGTAGTAGTTTTGATGCAGATAGAACTTAAAATAATAACGACAGCTTGTAGTCTTACTCGTGGGGGGGTGGGGGGGATGTTAGCCCGGGGAAAAAAGACACGGCAACATATAATCGAAGGAACTACACATAGCAATTTGTACTTATGGCACTTAAACTAGCATAAATAATGGAGTTTACTATTTACACAAAAAAACCCACTAGTATGTTTGGCTTTTTTCTTTTAGATTTGTAACCGGTGGGATAATTATGGGTTGTACTCCACCGCGGGAGAGACGGAACGAACACCATCACGGGAAAAATAAACCATAGATACAGAACCGAGAATAAAGATGAAATAAAAGCTTACGTATTAAGTATTATTTGTGTACATATTGGAATGATCCCAAGAAGCATTTACTGTGGCGGCGGCCGAGATTGATAAATATTTACCTCTCACTTCTGATGCTCTGCGGTTTATCGAGTCCTTTATCTACCCTGGCAAAGACTGAGTGTGTGTGTGTGTGTGTGTGTGTGTAAGTGTGTATGTTGCTCTACACTCAAGCCACCTTATCCAACCTACACGGCACTGGGGGTGGGGGGGAGAGGAGGGGGGAAATCTTGCAAGGGTTACAACACTCCCCCCACGTTAACACAACACAGGGCCTCGTCACCCCTAAGGTAACCAGGCAAAACACACACACACACACACACACACACTTGACTTGTTCGGTACGTGGAGTTCTTCGCTAGAATGGGATTTCACGAACATCACAAACTATAAACCGGATTCTTCGAGAAATATAAGTCAGCTCAGATGAAATTGTCAGGATCCCGGGGAAAAAAGTAAGATACAAGTAATTTTAGGGGTGACATAAGTAATTTTAGGCGCGACGTAAGTAATTTTAGGCGCGATGTAAGTAATTTTAAGGGTGATGTAAGTAATTCTAGGGGCGATGTAAGTAATTTTAGGGGCGACGTAAGTAATTTTAGGGGTGACGTAAGTAATTCTAGGGGCGATGTAAGTAATTCTAGGGACGATGTAAGTAATTTTGCGTATTCAATTATTAACAAACCTCTGTGCACTTTTGGTGAACTTATTAACAGTTTATAAGTATTACAAGTAGACAAGTACATGAGTAACACTGTTGATGAGTTACACCCACACACTGTTGATGAGTTACACCCACACACTGTTGATGAGTTACACACCCACACACTGTTGATGAGTTACACCCACACACTGTTGATGAGTTACACCCACACACTGTTGATGAGTTACATACCCACACACTGTTGATGAGTTACACACCCACACACTGTTGATGAGTTACACACACTGTTGATGAGTTACACACACCCACACACTGTTGATGAGTTGATGAGTTACACACCCACACTGTTGATGAGTTACACACACTGTTGATGAGTTACACACCCACACTGTTGATGAGTTGCACCCACACACTGTTGATGAGTTACACACACACTGTTGATGAGTAACACCCACAAACTGTTGTTGAGTTACACACCCACACACTGTTGATGAGTTACACACCCACACACTGTTGATGAGTTACACCCACACACTGTTGATGAGTTACACACACTGTTGATGAGTTACACACACACTGTTGATGAGTTACACACCCACACACTGTTGATGAGTTACACCCACACACTGTTGATGAGTTACACACACAATGTTGATGAGTTACACACCACACACTGTTGATGAGTTACACCCACACACTGTTGATGAGTTACACACCCACACACTGTTGATGAGTTACACCCACACACTGTTGATGAGTTACACACCCACACACTGTTGATGAGTTACACCCACACACTGTTGATGAGTTACACACGCCCACACTGTTGATGAGTTACACACCCACACAGTAACAAACACAATACTCATATATTTTCAGTAACAATGTAATCGTATAATTAAAAACAAGATGGTCATCAATTCAGAGGTATGGCGGTGGCTCTCACTTAGTAACCAACAAACTAAGTAGCCAAGGTAACCAAACATGGATGGCATATTAGATAAAGTCAATCGCCGACCAGCATGTTCTATCCCTACATAGCTTAATGCCCTCAGTCGTAGGTTCTCAATAACAAATTCCTCTACCTTACGATCGTTTTAATTTAGATTCGTTATACCTCTCTTAAATCATCCAAGGAGAATATCGCAAGAATACCCCACGAAACACAAACACCGTACTGAACGTGCCTCGGTAACGTTAGCTTTGAGAGACCACACCTGGGATTCACCAACACAGTCGCATGGGAATAAAATCAACTTTGGTTTGGCTGTCCGCTGCTGATGTTGTTTATTGGTGGGATCCTGTGATAACCATTTGAGAGGGACTTATGATGTGGGTCCACGGCGAGAGTGTGTGTGTTGAAGTGTGTATGAGGAGTCAAGCTTATTAGTCACCTTAATACATACAGAAGCATACAATATACATAGTTTCATGTATGTTGAGTCATTACAGTCATACAAAAGCATATAATACAGATTCATGGATACTAACTCACTCTTATTACAGACATACAGACACACAAATACATACATGTTCAAACACCCACAAGACCTGACTCTTCCCTCCCTCCCATCACTTCAGCTGGGTGGCATAAGAAACCTAATGACAATGGGATCGACTTCTCTCTACAATTGAACCAGTATATAAGTTCTTAATTAATTTTCTAAGGGATTTTAGCCTCTGGTTATAAAACGACCTTTATCCTAATATTAACCACCCAATGAACATAACACGTTAATTATGAATGCACTACAGTTATGTTCCTCCATGCATGAATGCACTTGGAAAACACTTACAGTACAGTGTGTATGCATAAAGGTCAATGCATTTTTTAATAAGCACAAGTGTGGTAGCTCTAATGAGAGGACAAACCTGCTGACTCAAACACACACACAAACACCTGTAGTACTCACAAGCAACACCTAAACATACACACTGGCCAAACACACACATCAGCAAGCACTCTCAAAAACACACCTCCAATATACACACACTCACACCTGCAGTACTCACAAACACACCTACAACACTCACAAATACACCTGGAATACTCACAAACACATGCTTACAATACTCACAAAGCCACACACAAACATACTCTCACTCTCTCACTCACTCACTCACTCACTCTCTCTCTCTCTCTCTCTCTCTCTCGTGGTAGCTGAAGGAACATTACAAGACGATAATCCAAACAATAACAGCACAGTACATCAAAGGAAACCCCCAGAATTACTTCCCCCACTCTCTGAATACCTAACGAGACAAAAGCGTCTTGGGGTAAGGGGAAGGGGAAGGGGAAGGAGGGGAAGGGAAAGGGGAAAGGGTAAATAAAGAAACAAACGAGAAAGAATACTACAATAATCCGTTTCTATCAGATATTCAATATGATGAATAATTTGGTTGAGAACGAAAAGAAATAATCACCGGTAATTATAAACCCCTTAACAGCCACTGGTACCTGTATTAACGAGATATGGTCAAGGTCATTACCGCGTCTACGCTCGTATACTCTTCGGTCGTTTGGCGTCCTTGTACGTAATGCGGGCGTTAACCGGCCAATAGAGTCGAGCAACACAAGGGGGCGCGGCAATACGCACACGGCCGCAAGCCAATCCCCGACTACAAAATATATCCTATGCGAAAATAATCACACAATTTGTCATGAAAATCAGCTACTGAAATAAACATACACATTAACATAAATTATTGTTTTTTTTTTAATTATTATTTAAGGTTCCTTTTAAATATATATTAGTCACTTTTGTTTTGTTTTAAACTTCTGCGCCTTTCACACCGAGCCGACTCATTTAAGCCCCATTGTTGACCGTGCATTCTTGTTTCTTAGCAGACTTGATATTTTAACCCAACAAGCAGGACTCAGACACAGCAAGATGGTCTTTTTTTTTTAAAGACAAAACAGATGAAAAGACTTGGCTTTGTGTCCACACCCAGAATGTCAGCCTAAACAGATCAGAAACAATTAAAATTCTGCCTAAAAACCATTCAGCTTTTGGTCTTGCCATTCCCGGGCTCTGATATTTTTTTAAGCCTCGGACGTCACGGTGCCCTTGGGAGTGTAGACGCGGGCATTGGGGTCTAACGTGGAGTGTTGTGGGTTCTTGGGAGCGGGCGGGGAGATGGGTGCGGGCGGGGACATGGGAACGGTCGGGGAGATAGGGACGGGCGGGGAGACGGTGTGGGGACGGGTGTGGCCGGCGGGGGTGAAGCCGAGGCCACACAGGGAGTCCAGCGACGTGTCCATGAGGCCGTCAACCATCACCAGGGAAGCGGTTGGCTCCATGCCGGAAGATGTCACCTGCAGTACAAAACTTCCTCAACTTGTAAGGTCAGGAACAACTACGATACAACACTCACACAACATACAGTAAACAAGTCAGCCAGGAGGTGTATTCATGATGTCTTTAAAGCTACTCAGACTAAAGATTAAAATCAAAATACAAATCATTTGCCAGTAGATATATTGAAATTACATAATCACTTAGGTATACATTTTAACATGGCCATTTTTTGACCTAGACTCACAGAAATCACAATGAAGGGAAGGAAATAAATCTGAGAAGTGACGTCGCAAGATAAACGTTGAGGGCAAAGAAGGGGGGGGGAGGGGAGACGTAGACCTTTCAATTTAACACTATGCTGACCTGCGGCAGAAGCTTGGAGGTGTAGTGAATGGGTGTTGAGTCGAGAGAGGAGTTGTGGAAGCTTGTTGGGGGACACACGGCCAACACCTCCGTGATCTTGGCCTTCAGTTCTTCGATTTCCTTATCCTTCGAAGACACGAGTCCTAAGGTGCCGGAAAAAATGGGGAAATGAGGAACTTGGCGGCAGAAACAGAGGGGAAAGAGTCAAAACAAGAAGTAAGAATATCCACATAAACTAACTAACTCGTATATTTAATCAATTTCCGAAATAAACATCGACTTAATGTTCTAAATCAATTCACTACGTACATTCGAGTTAGTCATGTGGAAATATTATCAAAGTTACCTTGTGAGATTTCCAACTGTCTCTTTGCTTCTCCTAGAGCAGAGAAGAGGTCCAGCTTCACTCTGGTTTCGGCCGATAGCGACGTCTCCAAGTGCGTGTTCTTGTCCTGCATGGCGGAGAGGGCTGACATGAGCACCTCGGTGTCGTTTTGGTTGTCCTTGTACTGTCGTAGGGTCATGTTCTCGCGCTCCACGCTGCGGACGCGATCCTCAGAGAGGCGGTGGTCGCGCCGCAAACGCTTCAGCTCGGTCTCCAGTTCACTGCGACGACTGCGGCAGGATTCACTGCATTCACTCCTGAAATATACAGTGACTTACAGTGCATCCAACTCTGAGTCACTGACATACAGGATTCACTGGTTTATGTCTTGAGTCATTGGCTCATTATCAAACTATGAGACATGATTCACTACATTCACTCCTGAAGTACAGTAGTATCCCCTTAAAGCTGGCTGTTTTAAAGCTTGTGTCCCTCAGAACTCACAGATTGTCATGGAAAATAAATACAATAACTCTGAGGCTGCGTGCCAGGGATCATCACTACAGGTCAGTGCAGGTCATAAGATGTACCAGGGACCAACAGTACAGGTCATAAGATGCACCCTGTAATAGCCTACTGTACTGTACTGTCAGAGTCAAGTCACAGGCTGTTATGGTTCTCACTACCACAGCTCACCATCACTTTATGGATCTATTATCAAACACTTGTTGGTATTATTAATAAAATTGACCTAATGTAACACAAAAGGACATAATTATAGGTACCAACAGTATAAATACTTCTCAGTACCAGACAAGTTCACTAGCATCTGTCCAGGTCAGGGATTGCTTACATCTTGTGCACCAGATCACCTCACATGTCAGAGGTATTATATTGTCACTACTAACTATCACTGTATGGCTCTAATGTTTATTTATTATATTGTATTATTCATATATGTATTATTTATATATGTATTTTACACACTCCTCAGACTGGCATGAAAGACTCGCGGATATTGCTTTCTCACGGGGTCCAGTTGACCTAGCCCCAGCGAGCTTTAGGGGAATACTGTACAGTGATTTCCATCATATTTTTGTATTTCACAACTCCTTGATACATGTTACCTTACCTAACGTAATGTAGTCTAACCTAACCTGACCAACATTAGGGTATTCAATCATCAGGTGATCTACAGGAGACACACACTCACTTGGCATTAGCTAGGGCATGTGCTCTAGCCTGCGACTGCTCCTCGACCTTTTTCTGCCGCCGCTCGAGCTGTGCCACCTGGTTCTCGGCGGCCGTGCGTGCGCGACGCTCCTCTTGAAGCCGACGCTCGAGACCACTGATAGTAGATCTATCATTTTGTCGAGCAGTTACCAGCCCGTGGAGTCTGGAGGAGGAGGGGAATAAATAACATCATAAGTAGAGTTTATTTTCCATGATCAAGTCTGAATGGAAATAAAAACAATAACTAAGAAATGAAAGAAAAAGAATCACAAGTAAAGACAATATTCCTTGATCACATATGACTAGCAAGGAATAAAACTACAAATAGAGGGATGGGCAACAGGTCAGGTCAGGTCCAACTCACTTATTTTGCAAGTTGTCGTTGTCTTGCTGGAGCTGGTTCATCTCTTGCCGAGTAATTTTGTCACTGGATATGAGTGTGTTGATCTGGTTGCGAAGTTCCTGCTCTGTTTGTCGCGATGCCTGCAGGTCGGCCTTGAGTCTCTTGATGTCAGCTTCGAGTCTGGAGGAGGATTTATTTTTTTTGTTAGGGCTAGTTGAGAGTGATCTTGAGCTGATGTAGGGTGTATGGTTAATGACACACTACATCCTTGACCACCGTAGGGTCAAGACCTATTCAGGCCCCCCTTGGCCATGTCGGCCCATTCCCCAAGTCCCTCTCCCCGACCCGTCCTCACCACCGGGATATCTACATAATCAAAAGTGACAATTTCGTTTGGGAAAGAAATGGGATCAGTGTTGAACAGTGATGAACAGTGTTTAAGCCAGTGAATTCAGCACTAGACAGTACCAGTGAGAGCCGTGACCCACCAGTGAGATAAGCACCCCGGGAACTGACCGCCATCTTCTGACCAGGTGCTAATCAGTTCACCCTGTGAACAACAGAGGGCCGGCCAGCTATGCACCTGACTACTAGATAACACAACACCACTGAGCAGTGTGAGGTACTGTGACACCACCACACACCACACATGACCATGTGAGGTCCTTCATATCAACACCCGAGGACGAGTTACTACACCACGTGAACACCTCACCACCCGGTGTCTCCATGACCACGTGAGGTCCCTCATATCAACACCCGAGGACGAGTTACTACACCACGTGAACACCTCACCACCCGGTGTCTCCATGACCACGTGAGGTCCCTCATATCAACACCCGAGGACGAGTTACTACACCACGTGAACACCTCACCACCCGGTGTCTCCATGACCAGCCCAGGCCCGGGCCATCAACTGTAAACTATAATAATTTGTATGTTCAATCATTGTTCCTTCTCCTTTCAGTAATGAAAGCTTTTGTTAAACAACCCACCCAGCCCATGTCTTTGTATGTAATAAGTCATTTTTGTCCAATGTATATTTTCAGCCTTCGGGCTGCAGAACTTATTCAATAAACCGTTAATTATTATTATTATTATTATTACACCCACCCACCCACCCACCCACCCACCCACACACACACACCCACACACACACACCCACACACACTCTACTCTCACCGTATGATGCTGACGGTCTCCTCCTTGGGGCCGTGAGTACTGTCTTTATTACTCTCCTTATTTTTGTTTTTCTTATCCCGCGAGGCCGACCCGCCGCCTCCCGCCCCAGAATCCCGTAAGTTGTTTGTGTGGGATCCCGGTATCTTGGCTGACCCGTTACTCTGGAAAAGTTTTAAAGATACAAATGTCAATAGAAGCTTCGTTGATCGCGGTAATTATTGAAATGATTTAAGATCTATGTTTATTTTCTCTACTTTGCCGATTTTTTTTTTGATGTGTGGACTAAGTAGTAAAAAAAAATAAACTAAAATAAATAAATGAAATAAAATAAAAATTGACCAATGTAGAATAAGAAAAACAGTGAAGCCTCCATCTAATGAACCACCCCCCTGTATATAGAGATGAAAGTCCATCATATCGAGGGTCTGTTAGATGTGAAACCCCCATATAACGGATTATACGGAGAGAAATCCATTATATCCAGGTTCTGTTAGATGTGAAACCTCCATCTAATGAACTACCGTATATACTCGTGTATAGTTCGAGTTTTTAGGACCAAATTTTTAGGCAAAAAATTGGGAGTCGTCCTATACAAGCGTAATAGTTTTGTTAGGTTGAACCCGTGCATGATGGGAAGGGCGAGGAGCAACTTTTAGCTTCAGACATGAAAAATATTTACCATTTACTGCCAGTAAACAATGGTAACGTAAAATATGTACCAATTAGTAATGAAAAGTTGTGCAGTTCCTTCAGCAGATGAAGCTCACCAACTTACAATAGGCTAAATTACCTTACAACATGCTTTCAGTAGTCTATGTTGAAGTTCTTAGCACAGGCTGACTTATCTTATCATATACGGTATCACAGTTCTCATTGATCTACAAAAAATACCGGTAATAAAAACCTTTTCTATTTTTCACACTTAATACAATACCCGGTAATCTACTTCAACCTCCTATTGTTTACAACGACGCATGACGCATCACCAGCTGTTGAGTATCAGCTAGACGGCACACGTGTTTTTCGAATCGTTTTCAGTTAAATAACTGTTACATCACATGTATATTTTACCTTAACTGTGCCTGAATGAATATATACTCGCAAATAAATAGTAGTTTTGCTGAAACGTGATGTATTTTAATGTAAAATAGGATAAAATACATGAAGAAAACTTAAGATTTTACCTAACCTTCCGATGTTCAAGAGAAGTTACTCGTTTTTTTTATAGTTTTTGGTTAAAATATTGTTATATTACAATGGAATTCTATTCATACTGTGCTTGATATAATACATTCACGGAAATGTAATATTTTTGCTGAAATTACGTACATATTACAGTGGAAAGTGGGATAAAATCGTGACGAAAACAATGACTTTCGCTTTCTTTCGTTCAAAAGATGTTACCGTAATCGCTTTTCGATTGGTTTTCAGTAAAAAAACTGTTGTATTACAATAATATTCTATCCTAATTGACTTGAATAAATACTACGATACCATATTTCGGAATATTTTCATTAAAATCCATCAAAATCATTTTCCTTGTCATCGTCTGCAGCACCAAACAGCTTCTCCCAGTCCTCTCCTTGATCAGGGCTAGAGGCTACGTGTTTTTCTAATCGTTTTCAGTTAAAAAACTATTACATCACACGTATATTTTACCTTAACTGTGCCTGAATGAATATATACTCGCAAATAAATAGTAGTTTTGCTGAAACGTGATGTATTTTAATGTAAAATAGGATAAAATACATGAAGAAAACTTAAGATTTTACCTAACCTTCCGATGTTCAAGAGAAGTTACTCGTTTTTTTAATAGTTTTCGGTTAAAATTCTGTTATATTACAATGATATTCTATTCATACTGTGCTTGATATAATGCATTCACGGAAATGTAATATTTTTGCTGAAATGACGTACGTATTACAGTGGAAAGTGGGATAAAATCGTGACGAAAACAATGACTTTCGCCTTCTTTCGTTCAAAAGATGTTACCGTAATCGCTTTTTGAATGGTTTAGTTAAAAAACTGTTGTATTACAATAATATTCCCTCCTAATTGACTTGAATAAATACTTGAATGGAATTATACAATATTTTTGTTGAAACTACCAGCGTTTTAGTGTAAAGTGGTGTAAAGTGTCGTGTCGTAATAATAAATGGTAAACAATTTGCCTTTGGCACTCAGTGTTTCGGGCACGGCGAGCCTCAGTTTATAGGACGTAGAGCGTTTTTACTGAAGGTTTTGTTGTTCCATTACCCTCAAAAACGTGGGTCGACCTATAAACGAGGAATATCATAAATTAACGATTTCTTGGTCAAAAAATCAGGGTTGACCTATAAACGAGGGGGGGTTATAGACGAGTATATACGGTATATAGAGATGAAGGTCCATTATATCCAGGTTCCGCTTTCCACAACAGTCGTTCAACCTCACCTGTAAAGAGGCATTGACGCGTTTCTTTTCGGTCTCGAGGCTGGCAGTGAGACCAGTGGTTTGTGTGGAGGAGGGGCCACCACACGGCGTACTACCCCCAGAGCTGGTCTTGGCACTCTTGTCTTTCTCCGCCTCACTCTCATCGTAGTCGTTCACGGACCTCGAATTGGCCCACCTGAAGTGCCAACAACAAGGTCAGGTTAGGTTAGATTAGGTTAGGTTAGATTAGGTTAGGTTAGTGTTAGAATAGGTTTGGTTTGGTTTAGCAAGGTTAGGTTAAGATAGGGTTAGGTCAGGTTAAGTTACAAATACACTCGTTTCATACACAGAAAGTTCAATAACAAATACAAAAAACAAATACACACAGACATACAGATAAAAATAACTAGAGCAAAAAAAAAAAAATTGAATACAAAATATCAAGTAAAAACAATATTTATAAAAAAGTTGCAAAAATTATGTATTCCTGACTTAATGTCATGAAAGTACGTCTATAACAGGAATCAACAACGCTTTTATATATTTCTGTTTATGCCGCCACCATGACAGCTTCCATAATATGAGACGAGTAGATACAGATAAGGCTGTTTGGACACGTTGCAGCAAAAACTGGCACACGCACACATGTACGTTAAATGGTCGTCATGATCACGGGCAAAAGTCACAGACGACCCGGTAGTTTTTTCCGCGATTCAAGAAAATTTTATTCTTATCGTTTCAAATCCTTTTATTATTTTTAAGCAAACTAGGCCAGACATTGATGAGGGATTGTAGCCCCTGGGGTCAAAAAGGGTCCATCGTATAACACTGAAACGACGAGATTTCAGACCGTTATCAATCTTTGGCTGGAGCTGCTGTACCACTAGAAAGGTCACCAACACTCACAGATTTCATAATAATTACAGAGGACATCCAATCTTTAATTTCATATACAAGTCTTAGTAACTATTTTATGGTATTGTTAAATGTGGAAAATTATATTGTGTTAATACTGTCGCCCGCTTGGTAATTTAAATATTTGTTCTATATACCAATACTTGTCTAAATATATTACTTAAGGCCCAATTTAATGATTTATTTTTCCCAATTTAAGACACATTACATAACTACACTTTGGGATGACTGTGAATGATCGCTTGATGCCTTGCTTGTGATCTGGCCGATTGCTATATAAAGATTGCGGACCCTTCACCTATAATGTACGCTCAAGTTAACACGATACAGGTGTACAATCTAACTATACTATAACCTGTAACTATACTCCTGAAATAATGTATTACACCATCTACAATGTAAACTGTAACTAATAAAAAAACCATTAGATTTATCATGATCAAATCCATCTCATTATATTAAGTCAAATCCATCTCATTATATTAAGACAAGTTAATGTGTTAGGATATATCTCCAATAGATATGGATTCACCTGAAGATTAATCACCTAATCCTACCCGTGTGTTAGGTTAGCATCTGGTTAGGTTAAGGTAGGTGAGGTTACATTATGTTTGGTTAAGTTAGGATGGATAATCTTTGGGTGATATAAGCCACGCATCCACACCAAAGCCACACATCCTCACCGAAGCCACACATCCTCACCTACCCTTTTTTCTGCATGTATTCCAGCTCGGCGTGGATAGTGCCGTTGGGAAGGCGATTTTTGTCCGGCCGGTGTATAGGAGGTGGGGGGCTGTCCTCCCCCGCCTGGCTTTGTTCAGGTAACTTGGCATCAGCTCTAACACCTCTACTCCCTCTACTACCACCACCACCACCACCACCACCACAACCACCCCCACTACCCCCTCCACTACCCCCTCCTCCTCCCCCTCCTCCACTACTACTGCTACTAGTACTACTGCTGCTACTCGTACTACTGCTACTGCTAATACTACTACTGCAACTGCTACTGTGATTGCAGCTTCCTCCTGTAACATGAAACAAAAATGGATTCAGAAAGAGATTTATTGTCATTTTCCGCCTCAACTAACATCCAGTAGAAGTTATGACAAGAGCTATTATTATTTATATTATGGTCACAACTCATGTCTTCAAATGGTGCAGAAAACAGATAATTAACTTAATATAAATATATATATATAAGTAGCATTACAGATAGAGTATTGGTATATTAATCATTAAGTAACAATAACACAGTTGCTTGGTCGAGAGAGAGAGAGACAAACAACAAAGGGTGTAATTAGCCACAGGCAGGACCGCACCATCACCTCACCTGTCAGGTTAATGGTGGCAGCAGTGACCTCCACCTCACCATTGAGAGTGAGATCTTCACTTTTCTCCTTCAGACCTGAGAGTGAGACACATTAATTAGTGAGAGGTGAGACACATTAATTACATTGTTTGTATACCTACACTGTACTATTATCAATATCAATGTTCTTTTGGTAAACACACACACACACACACACTTAAGAAACAGACAGACATATTCTCAGTCTACTTACACACTCAACGGGACTATTAAGTAACACAGTCTACTCACACTTATCAGGACTAGACGTGACTTGCAACTCTGGTGGCAACGCCTCTTGAAGTAGTTGCAAATAAAATTCATTTTCTTTTGCAACCTCCCGCTGTTTTCTCTGTAAGGATAAGAACAAATATAAATAATAACGTTAATAACAACAATAATGATAATAATAATAGTAATAATACAGTAAAAATAATAATAGTAATAATAATAATAACAAAGACGCCTCTCTAAGTTATTGCGTCTATGAGTGACAGAACCCAGATGTAATGTCCCGTGATTGGTCAACTCCTCGGGGGGGGTTCCAGCCTATGGTGTGACCTGGTGCTTCAGTTCTCAACCTGTCTGGAACCTGGGTCACAACACAAGGAGCCTATCTACTGGAGAGAGAGAGAGAGAGAGAGAGAGAGAGAGAGAGACAAACACCTCGGTACAGTACTAACCTGTCTCAATCTGTATCCAACGTAACTTTTTAAACCGAACCCCAAAGTTACGACAGGATACCCAATACTGTGGGAGAGAACAAGACAGGTGGGGTGTTATTATAAATGCTCTAAAGTGAGTTATGGGGGCTGGTATATGTATGAGTTTATTGATGATTGAGAGGAATAATATGTATACACACACACTTGTAAATATTCATACAGACACACACAAGAGAGAAGAGCTACTTACCAATGTGCAGCAAAGGGTCTGCACAAATCTAAATGGAAGGGAACATTTTTTATATCTTTGAGGCGAACAAGAGCCTCGATGTAGATGAAGAGCGCCCATAGCACTACTGTGGGCATACACACACCCCGTTCTGCAACACACAAGGGCATGAAGGTGCATTAGAATAATCATAAGGGAATACAACTGTAGATATAATTATTTAAATGACTATGAACATTTTAATTGTGATTTTTTATTGCAGTTTTTCCCCGACATATAGAATGCGATTTATTTTTAACTGTGTTCGAAAATTAACCCTGTGTCAATTACCCCGTGTCCAATACCCCGTGTCCAATGTGCCGGTACTGTATTATCAAATAAAGTTGAGAGAGGTTTGTTTTCTTAGCTACATAACTGTGCTAGTTCTGTTGTCTCGGGGAATAATATAAAACATTCAAGAGTGAGACGTTATGACAGAAGGCAAAAGTACCACCTCACTGTGTCTCCTTTACCAGCACTCATAAACCATACCCCACAAGATGGCCCCGATGTACCACACAAGATGGCCCTCACGTACCACACGCGATGGCCCCGACACACCAGACAAGGTGGACCCGACATAACGTACCTGTGTGCCATACGAACTGGACCCAGACGTAGGTGGAGGCGGCGAAGAAAAGCCAATTCACCGGGATGAAGAGGAGGCAGATCATGTCCGAGGTTAGTGCCATACACACAAACAACACGGAGAATGCCTGCCGGGAGGAACAATGGTCGTGACCAATGACTGACCTCGGAACACTAAAGTCAATTAATATTAAACAATAACTCGATGACGTTTGCAATAATGTAGAAGAGGTAAAGTCAAAATGGTTAGCAATGCATCAATAATGTTTACAATAAAGATTAAACAATATATCAATAATGTTTACAAAGACAGCACTGTACTCACCAGACCCTGGTAGCGGAAAGAGTCGTACACACTACGCAGGAGAAGCCAAAAGGGCCACAGATATTCAAACCGGAACTCCAGAAGAAAATCTGCTGCCAGCACAAGAAGCCATACCAGGAGAAACTTGATGTACACAAAGGTGCTGCAAACACAAACAGGGGGTAAACAGGTGTAAACAACAGCTACATGTAAACACCTAAATACTGTCAATGAAACCTCTATTTAATGGACTGTATGGGTGAGAGAGGATGTTATATCAAGGGTCAGTTAGATGTGAACCTCTATTTAATGAAACGACCCAAAAGAAATGTTCATCAGAAATCACTGTTCGTAAAGTACCTGGAGTCACAATGTAGACTTTGTAGTGGTTATAGGGTAGGGTGTGGTAGGGTAGGGCAGGGGAGAGTAGGTTAGGTAGGGTACATAAGAACATAAGAATGGAGGAAACAGCAGCGGGTCCATACTGGGCAGTCCCGTTTACACCCAACCCCTATAGCTCATATATCCATCCAGCCTCTGTTTGAAGCTATCCAGCGTATTAGAATTAATGATAATGTTTGGTAATTTGTTCCACTCATCCACTACTCTGTTTCCAAAGCCAATGTTTACCTATCTTGAGCCTAAATCTAGATTGGTCTAATTTAAAACCATTGTTACGAGTTCGCTCCTGGTTGGATAGTTTGAGTACCTTTGTAATGTCCCATTTGTTTCGCCCTGACTTCCATTTATACACCTCTATCATATCGCCCCTCACTCTACGTCTCTCGAGGGAGTGCAAATTAAGAAGCTTTAACCTGTCTCTGTACTCAAGGTTCCTAATGCCCGGGATTAGTCTTGTCATTCTCATCTGAATTCTTTCTAGGGATTCTATATCCATTCTGTAGTACGGTAACCAGAACTGAACTGCGTAATACATGTGAGGTCTAACAAGCGCAAGATATAGTTTTAGGATGACCTCGCTAGTCTTGTAACTAACACTCCTTTGTATGAACCCAAGTACTTTATTAGCCTTGTTTCGAGCAAATACACATTGTTTACTTGGCTTAAGATTCCTACTTATCATTACTCCTAAATCTTTCTCTCAGTCGGATTCCTCAATAACATCGTTGTTCATCTGGTATCTGGTTTCCCTGTTTACATCTCCTATACTGAGTACTTTACATTTGTCCACATTGAATTTCATCTGCCATTTTTTATAGATTTAGACCATTCAAAAAACTTGTTTAGATCTTCATGTAGTTTTGCAGAGTCAACATCAGATTTAATTACACGTCCTATTTTAGTGTCGTCAGCAAATTTACTTATGTTGCTGTCTACGCCTATATTTATGTCGTTTATGTATATAATAAATAATAATGGTCCAAGTACTGAGCCTTGAAGTACTCCACTCGTGACGTTACCCCAATCGGATTTAGTGCCGTTAATGCTCACTCCATTTCCTGACCTGTAACCACGCATCTGTTCACTGCTGCAGGGATACAAGAGTGAGTATATAGCAAGTAGCCAGGTAGGCAGGCAGGGTGCAGGCAGTGGTGCAGGCAGCAGTGTGTAGTGTGTTGTGTGCAGTGCAGCATGCAGGCAGGCAGGTAGGTAGGGTAAGGTAGGGTAAGGTAGGGCAGGGTAGGGTAGGTAAGAATAGAGTAGGATAGGACAGCAAGAGCCATAACAAACTCCCAAAGACCAACTAACCTAACTAACAGAGAAGAGAAGAGAAGAGAAGAGAAGAGAAGAGAGAGAATAACATAAGTGTAATAATAATAATAATAAAAAATAGAGGAGTGTGGAGAAACAGGATGTAACCGGTGATAACAACACCTAACGTGGCTTCGAGCTAGACGAGATAAAAGTGCCTGGAAATATTACCCTCGGACCGAACTTAACCCCCACACCCCCTACCAAACACGTGACAACAGACGACACCAACTGATAAAAACAATACCCCCCCCCCCTTAACGACCCGGCGAGTGGGAGATACAGTACATAACAGGGTGTCTTAGTAAAATACACACTATTCAAGGATCTTTTTGGTTTTCTTTTTGAGACGCCCTGTAGACATTATCTCATGGTGGTGTTCTGGACTTCCTCTGAGTACGATATGTTAGTCTAATGATTGAATACGGTGTCTTAATCCCTTGAGAACAAATTTACCAGAGTACAATATGTTAAGTCCATTACTTTAGATATTGAATCCCTTGAGTACAATGACCTAACCCTTTGAGTACTACTTTGATACTGGTACTCAAGGGGGTAACTAATTATACAATAGAGATTAATATGTGATTGGATGCTAATCACCTAGAAACAGACAAACACACAGACAGAAAGAGACAGACAGACAGACAGAAAGAGACAGACAGAAAGAGACAGACAGACAGAAAGAGACAGAAAGAAAGACAGACAGACACATACACACACACACTACATCCTTGACCACCGAAGGGTCAAGACGTACCTGGCGCTCCTCTCGGAGCAGCCAGGTCAACTGTTAAGTTGGCCCATACCAACCCCCTCCCCTGAACCACTTCTCCCCACCGGAATATCAACAAGTTCTCGCCAGAAGTTACAATTTCATTTAGGAAAGGAATGGAACCAGTGTTAAACAGAGGTGAACATTGGTGAACAGTGCTTAAGTCAGTGAGAACAACTCAACAGTAACAGTCGTACTCAAGTTAACCTTCACACAGTGAGGTCCCAGGTACCCAGTGATAACGGCCCGTGAGACCCAACAACCAGCGATGTGTTAATCCGTCTACGATAGGAAGGCCTGGGGACATACCTCACTATATAACACCATCTGTGAGGGAATTACTACACCACGTGATGCCCCTCATAACACCAATGGAGATACACCATTACATAACACCATCTGCCCCTCATACACCACCATATCATAATAACACCATCTGTGAGGGAATTACTACACCACGTCAGGTCCCTCATAACACCATCTGTGAGGGAATTCGTACACCACGTGATGCCCCTCATAACACTATCTGTGAGGGAGTTACTACACCACGTGAGGCCCCTCGTAACACCATCTATGAGGGAACTACTACACCACGTGAGGCCCCTCATAACACCATCTGTGAGGGAATTACTACACGTGAGGCCCCTCATAACACCATCTGTGAGGGAATTACTACACCACATCAGGTCCCTCCTTACACCATCTGGGAGAGAGTTACTACACTACGTGTTTGCTGTTCAACACCTACATTAATCTGAATGTTCACTGTATGTTCCTTTACCTTTCTCTAATGAAGGCTTTTGTTAAACCACCAATGTATGTAATAAGTCATTTATGTCCAATGTATATTTTCAGCCTTCGGGCTGCAGAACTTTTTCAATAAACCGTTAATTATTATTATTATTATTATTATTATACCACAACACACGACTATTTTAATAACTACATCGATTCTTTTTTTTTCCCGGCCAATAAAGTGTACGGGTCAAGAGTGTCGGGAGTTGAACGCCTCGAACTGATAGACGAGAGAAAAACGTTGCTTGGGGTGCGTTGTTCTGCTGTTGTTGTTTTCTACGAACTTCCCTTTAAACTTTATCGCCTTATATTCCTCTCTCTCTCTCTCTCTCTCTCTCTCTCTCTCTCTCTCTCTCCCTGATGATAATGATGGTATAATGACACACACTATACTACCAAAAAAACCCCCAGGCCGACTGACACCGCTAAACACACCAGCCATACTTGTTCCGAGTCTGACACACACACACACACACACACACACGAGATCCACAGCATGTACAAACAAACTCCTGGGCCTAAACTTTCCGCTAAATAAGTATACTATATATATGGATCAAGAGAGGTTAGGTTAGGTTAGTTTAAATTTGCTTCTCTATAACACAATCACCATAAACTAAACATATTAACATAAATTCAATAAATAACATCTGAAATAAATGTTAAATTGTACCCAAAGATTAAAACACAATATAACATCAAATATTAACATTAAATCACAAAAAACCACGAAAATGTTAAGATAAATTAACAGAACACATAACAGGTTAACTAACTCATAATGTTAATGTTTAGTTTACCTGGACTAAATTAACATCACCATGAATAAAAACCCACAAATTAACATTAAATATTAACAAAATCACTAAAAAACACGGAAATATCATATAATATTTAATAAAAGTACTATAGGGTTTTTAAAACATACATTTTTTTTTTACTTAAATTCCTCAATAACCCGAAATATAACATTATTAACGTTGTATATGTGTTAATTATCAATAGTCTGATAAACTGTGATAGTAATTAATAAAGGAATTATGATATGGAGAGAAAAATAAACAAAATCAGATTCAGTTCTGATTAAAAGTGACAGCTGTTCTCTACACCATTACCTACCTGACACTAGATTCTATTAACCTCTAAGTATATTTATAATTTATTTCAACCTGTATTTGTTATTTTAATTAAGCTATAGGAAAGAAAAACAGTTAATAAGGTCAGCCATATTCAGCGTCACTCACCTGCCGTATAATCCTTCACCAATTTTAGTCCGTTTTAACGGTCTACGAAGCTTAGCACAATCCACATTTCTCCTCTTCATTATTTAAAGCTTTTATTTTTTTACCCCATACATGTAGTACACAGATCCAAAGTCGAATATCATTTAAATAAAGTGAAGTGTGTCGTCTAAACAGGAGTGTGTTGTTGTGTCAGCCATCTACAGAAGTATAGATGATAGACTCTCCATGTTCAACCCGATCGTCTTCTGTTAAACAATAGGTAAGAAGGAGAATTCAATCCTCTATACAATCCCATAACCTGATCTAACAATAGGTAATAAGGAGAATTTAATCGTCTATACAATCCCATAACCTGATCTAACAATAGGTAATAAGGAGAATTCAATCGTTTATACAATCCCATAACCTGATCTAACAATATGTAATAAGGAGAATTTAATCGTCTATACAATCCCATAACCTGATCTAACAATAAGTAATAAGGAGAATTCAATCGTCTATACAATCCCATAAACTGATCTAACAATAGGTAATAAGGAGAATTTAATCGTCTATACAATCCCATAACCTGATCTAACTCCTTTTCATTCCCATTCCAAATGTTTTAGGTAATAATGACATTTTTCTAAACATGGAGGAATATGGAAATTAAAGCCATTTCTCGAGACTGATTGAGCATATTATCTCTCATTACTAAAAGGAAATAGGATATAAATTATGTTATATATTCTAACCTTATTAACCAGACATTCTTACATAATACTCTACCTCCTCCATTACCTTAAACAACTTTATTTTCCTAATTTACCTTTTATACATCAATTTATCCTCATTATTATATTAAAAGCCATTAATTAAAAGTTCCAGTTGTTGTAATTATCTTTATTGAATGTTTGTTTTATATTTGATTAGATTTAAAGTGTTGTATTACCTTTATGTCAGGTGAGACGCAGGTGAGAGACAGGTGAGACACAGGTGAGACACGGGTGAGAGACAGGTGAGACACAGGTGAGAGACGGATGAGACACAGGTGAGACACAGGTGAGAGACAGGTGAGACACAGGTGAGACACAGGTGAGAGACGGATGAGACACAGGTGAGAGACAGGTGAGACACAGGTGACCGACGGGTGAGACACAGGTGAGAGACAGGTGAGATAATGACAGGTGTGGGTCGATGTTTCTATTTAAATGTTTCTTATCTGATTACCGAGTGAGAGAGAGAGAGAGATGTGTGTGTGTGTATGTGTGTAAGTGTGTGTATGTGTGTCTGTGTAAGTGTGTGTGTGTTGAAGTACCTTTGGTTAATTTGGGCTAAGTTTGTTAAGGACAGGTAGGGTTAGGTTAACTCAGTCAATCAGTCAGTCAACCACCAGTCAATCTATCAGTCAACCAGTCAGTCAGTCAACCACCAGTCAATCAATCACTCAGTCAGTCTGCCAAACAGTCAACCAGTCAGTCAGTCAACCAGTCCCTCAATCAGTCAACCACGTCACAGTGCTCGGGAAAGACATTATACGACCACCTGTTACGGTAGTGCCACTTGTTACTGGCACTTAGGCACTGTCAGGACACTTTCTGGGCATCTATACAACTTGTGGGGCACTTTCTTGGGTCTTGGGCACTGTCAGGGCACTTTCTGGGCATCTATACAACTTGTGGGGCACTGTCTTGGGTCTTGGGCACTGTCAGGGCACTTTCTGGGCATCTATACAACTTGTGGGGCACTTTCTTGGGTCTTAGGCACTGTTAGGACACTTTCTGGGCATCTATACAACTTGTGGGGCACTTTCTTGGGTCTTGGGCACTGTTAGGACACTTTCTGGGCATCTATACAACTTGTGGGGCACTTTCTTGGGTCTTGGGCACTGTCAGGGCACTTTCTGGGCATCTATACAACTTGTGGGGCACTGTCTTGGGTCTTGGGCACTGTCAGGGCACTTTCTGGGCATCTATACAACTTGTGGGGCACTTTCTTGGGTCTTAGGCACTGTTAGGACACTTTCTGGGCATCTATACAACTTGTGGGGCACTTTCTTGGGTCTTGGGCACTGTTAGGACACTTTCTGGGCATCTATACAACTTGTGGGGCACTTTCTTGGGTCTTGGGCACTGTCAGGGCACTTTAACTTGTGGGGTAGCTCTCTGTCTCTCTCTCTCTGTCTGTCTCTCACCCATTCTCTCTTTTTTCCTCCCTTCTCTCATTTCTTCTCTCTCTCTCCCTGTCCACCCTATATCCTTCTCTCCTCTCTTTTCCTCCCGTTCCTCCCTTCCCCCCGCCCCCTCCCGTCTCTCCCCGTCTACCGTCCCTCCCGCTCTCCCAACACGCAGTACAGTTAATCAATAAAGAACAAAGAAATTCCTGTAATGCCAAGTTCTTCCCCGCCAGTTACTATATTTAGGGGAACAGCATAATTTAGGGGGAAATACATAATTTAGGGGTAAACAGCATAATTTAGGGGGAAACAGCATAATTTAGGGGGAAAACAGCAATTTAGTGGGGGGAAACAGCATAATTTAGGGGGGGAAAGCCAGCATACAATTTAGGGGGAAACAGCATACCCTAGGGGGAAACAGCATAATTTAGGGAAACAGTAATTTAGGGGGTAAACAGCATAATTTAAGGGGGAACAGTATAATTTCAGTAGGGGGAAACAGCATAATTTAGGGGAAACAGCATAATTTAGGGGGAAACAGCATAATTTAGGGGGAAACAGCATAATTTAGGGGGAAACAGCATAATTTAGGGGGAAACAGCATAATTTAGGGGGGAAACAGCATATTTTAGGGGAAACAGCATAATTTAGGGGAGAAAGATGTACTATTTAAGGGAAAATTACAGCAATTGAGGAAAATTCACTTGCGAAATGTAATGAATTGGACAAAGAGAGAGAGAAAGAGAGAGAGAGAGAGAGAGAGAGAGAGAGAGAATCATTAAGTACTGGCAGCAATGACGTCATCCTCTTGCAGACAACTTGAAAATGTCGTCATCGATGTGGAACAGCAAAACATGACGTCATACGGGCATCATCAACACAAAATGACGTCACAACCCCAAAATGACGTCATCAAATTGAACACACAATGACGTCACAGCCCCACAATGACGTCACAAACCACAATAACGTCACAGTTTGTTAATATCATCATGGAACGGCGGTAAAAAAAGGAACATTAAATTACTTATAACATCAATAACTATTTAAGAGGCTCCCAGGAGGTCAAAATCTAGGTTCCTAAAATAATCTAAATAATAAATGAAGAACAGGAAGAGCACTTGGACAGCCATAGTGAATTAATTCTTTAATATATATTTTTTTAATTTTCGTTTGAATTTGTTATGTAATGTTATTCAAGTTAATTTTGATATATAACATAACAAAGTATAACATATAACATAGCATAACATGATATAGCATAGCATAACATGATATAGCATAGCATAACATGATATAGCATAGCATAACATGATATAGCATAGCATAACATGATATAGCATAGCATAACATGATATAGCATAGCATAACATGATATAGCATAGCATAACATGAAATAACATAGCATAACATGATATAGCATAGCATAACATGATATAGCATAGTATAACATGATATAGCATAGCATAACATGAAATAACATAGCATAACATGATATAGCATAGCATAATATATAGCATAGCATAACATGATATAACATAGCATAACATGATATAGCATAGCATAACATGATATAACATAGCATAACATGATATAGCATAGCATAACATGATATAACATAGCATAACATGAAATAACATAGCATAACATGATATAGCATAGCATAACATGATATAACATAGCATAACATGAAATAACATAGCATAACATGATATAGCATAGCATAATATATAGCATAGCATAACATGATATAACATAGCATAACATGAAATAACATAGCATAACATGATATAGCATAGCATAACATGATATAACATAGCATAACATGAAATAACATAGCATAACATATAGCATAGCATAATATATAGCATAACATGATATAACATAGCATAACATGATATAGCATAGCATAACATGATATAACATAGCATAACATGAAATAACATAGCATAACATGATATAGCATAGCATAACATATAGCATAGCATAACATGAAATAACATAGCATAACATGATATAGCATAGCATAACATGATATAACATAGCATAACATATGCATATAACATATAACATAGCATAACATGAAATAACATAGATGATATACATAGCATAACATAACATAGCATAACAATAGCATAGCATAACATGCATAGCATAACATGATAGCATAGCATAGCATAAATATATAACATATGAAATAAATATAGCATAACAGTATAATATGACATAACATAGTAAAACATAATATGGCAGCCATTATGGACATTGCCATGGTAATGATGTGATAGGAGACGTTGCCATGGTGATGATGTGTGAGAAATCCGACTGAGAGAGAGATTTAGGAGTAATGATAAGTAGGAATCTTAAGCCAAGTAAACAATGTGTTTTTGCTCGTAACAAGGCTAATAAAGTACTTGGGTTCATACAAAGGAGTGTTAGTTACAAGACTAGAGAGGTCATCGTAAAACTATATCTTGCCCTTGTTAGACCTCACATGTATTACGCAGTTCAATTCTGGTTACCGTACTACAGAATGGATATAGAATCCCTAGAAAGAATTCAGAGGAGAAAGACAAGACTAATCCCGGGCATTAGGAACCTTGAGTATAGAGACAGGTTAAAGCATCTTAATTTGCACTCCCTCGAGAGACGTAGAGTGAGGGGCGATATGATAGAGGTCTACAAATGGAAGTCAGGGCTAAACAAAGGGGACATGACAAAGGTACTCAAACTATCCAACCAGGAGCGAACTCGTAACAATGGTTTTAAATAAGACAAATTTAGATTTAGGCGCGAGATAGGTAAACAATGGTTTGGAAACAGAGTAGTGGATGAGTGGAACAAGTTACCAAACATCATCATTAACTCTAATAAGCTGGATAGCTTCAAACAGAGGCTGGATGGATATATGAGCTATAGGGGTTGGGTGTAAACGGGACTGACCAGTATAGACCCGCTGCTGTTTCCTCCATTCTTATGTTCTTATGATAAGAGACGTTGTCATCGTGATTATGTGCATTAAGTGGTTAAGGTAGTAGGCAGGGAGGTCCTGGGAAGATATTGGAAGCATAATGTGTTGTTTAATGGTGGACCCTGCTGCCATGTGACCAAGTCCCAGGTTGATGATCTGACTTTCTGCCTCATTTACACACAATTGCAGGGTCACAATTGATCTTTTTTTAAATATTTGTATTTCTTTATAGTTCTTTATTATTATTATTATTAAATTTTCATCCCCCAGGCCCGGATGTGGGTCAATGACCTGTGCACGGGTGGGTTAATCCCCGTAAAAAAAAGGGGGGGGGGTAGGGTGGGGAGATCAAGTTGTACAAATCAGGCTGGGAAGGTTAAGTTTTCGAGGTCAAGCTGAAGAGATTAAGTTGGGGGGTTAAGTTGGGGAGGTAACATTATGGAGGTCAAGCTGGGGAGTTTAAGCTCAGTTTTTTGGACACCACACACACACACTGTCTCAACAAACTTGTACTTGGCTATACTCACAAACCAGTCGACCTTAAACAATATTAAAATACAATGAAGTCACCCCCCCGCCCCCGCCATCCCAAATTGGCCAAAACAGATTCTTCTCAAATTTAGATCAGAATAGATAATAAACCAGTCTTCAGGGTTTATTAATGTACAAGTTCTTAGGTATGATAAACTGACTATCAAATTACAAGTCTATTTTTTTTATTAGCCATTCTGTAGCCACCGTGTGTGGAACTAATTTACTGAGTATGATAGAACAACGATAACACTAAATTGTCTTGTTTCAACGATGCCTTTAAAAAAAAACCCTAAAACAACTGCAGAAATCAACACTAATATATCAGGGAGGAAAAACAAATTCTATAAACTTTGGATAATTTTATTAGTTTTATGTACACGTATTTTGGGCTATTGTTTAGAATATTCTTCCGTCGACGCCCTCTATGTCTGGCGCCTCGTTGACCTTGTGTAGCAGCTCCACGCGGTGTATTCTCAACAGTGTGTGTGTCTCGCGCTCGACTAATGGGGGAGATGGACACGTGGGTAAAGATCTCTTGAGAATAGGGAATTATCCTTAAATCCCACACACAAAAATAGGGAATTTAATGAATAATCCCACAAAAATAGGGAATTAAATAAAATAATCCCACAAAAATAGGGAATTGAATATTAAATCTCACAAAAATAGGGAATTAATCCTAAAATTCCATGAAAATAGGAAATTAAATCCTAAATTCCCACAATATTAGGTTAGGTCACTTTGGTTAGTAGGTTAGGGTAGGTATGTTAGGTTAGGTAGGTTAAGATAGGTATGTTAAGTTAGGTAGGTTAAGTTAGGTAGATTAAGTTAGGTAGGTTACGTTAGGTAGGTAAACTCGGTAAAAAAACTACCGTTCCAATTCCAGCACAAAACAAACTGACACTACAAACGAAGTGTTTCAAAAAGGCCCCTGAGGCATTCCTCGCACTAGTAGCCCTGCTCGTGTATGGGTTCAGCCACACGAGCTTCAAACAAGTGATCGGCACTCAGACACGAATCAAGAGTTAATGCTGCCAGACTAACACAACATGAAACTTGATCGGAACTCTTTGCCTCATTTCTCCAGGTCGAATACACATTGTGAGCAGTGTTGTAGCAGCCTAATATTGTGATTTACGTAATTAGTGCTACCAACATTTCCTGATATCTTATATAAATGTGTATGTTATATGAACTGTAGAGCTGTTCAGATGTTTCGGAACAGTATGGTATATTTTACAATACTAATAATGACATTAGCCCAAAGTGAAGTAGTAATACAAATACAGATTCAATATTCGGTTACAAAATAATCTTCTACCTTTACTATATCCACGAATTCTGTCAAACATATAATGTATTCCTATATGGCAACTCATCCACTCCCATGGTTACTGTAGTCCGCGGTGTGTGGAACATTTAATATAACATACAGTTTAACTTATCTAGATACTCTGACATTCTCCAGTCATATTCTAAGTAATTCAATATTGTCAATGAAATAGCTAATTTAGGCCTACCAACTTAAGTACAAAATGTCCCACATTCAGGCCTAACAATCCTCGCAAGACAACGGGAATGTTCAGTTGGGAAATCATCGGACCTCACCTGTAGGGCAGGTTTTTTCCTAGCGTATATTAGTGGATAGGTGGGTTAGGTTAAGTTAGGGTAGGTTAAGTTGGGTTAGGTTAGTATTAAGGTACAGGTATTGTATTTGCTAACCAGGTAAAATAAGTGAGGGTTCCTAATCTTCACAATATCCCAGAAAATACAACAAACACACAAACACACTCAACTTACATTTTGTTTTCCTCGAGTTTTTCCGCCTTCTATTGTAGAAGAAAATGCGGCAATGTGAGAGAGACTTTTCCACAACAGTCGCTTCCACATTGACCAAGTCCTTGTGTAGAAGAGGACGTCCAAGTAGGGTGAAGTCTCTACCACCAACCGCAAGTATCTGAGGACAGGTTACATCACAAACACATTACCACTAAGTGTTAATATCTGAGGACAGTTTACATCACATTAAAATAAATACTGTACTGTATTACTCCCAATAGCCGGAACAATTGCTGCGGTGTCGGGTTTGAGAGATTTTCTTATCTGCAGAATTTTCCCCGGTATTGGTGAATGTTTCCGCATCTTAACTACACATCTCACACACAGACCGTCGTTACAGAGGCTAACTACAGTCAGACAGATACAGAGCTGTATTTATATATGTAAACACTACTGTACACGTACAGTATGTTGTAAATAAACAAAACATAAGACTAGTACTGTATAGTACACTATACTGTACTGTACTCACCAGCAGATTATGTTGTCTTGAGCTAGTGATGCAGGCAGGCCATTTGGTGATGCAGGATGGCCTGCTTTGTCCTGTACAGTACCACCTACTGTGGCAGCTGGTGCTAACTGTCACTGTTGTCTCCACCATGAAGGAGGGGTTGCACATGCAGTGTACTATACACCCTCTACACACTAGCCTACAGTAGGCTAACTGTTCATAATCCATTCTGCTATGTACAGTACTGTGGTACTTTTAGAATGAATGTACAATACAGTATAGGTAACTGTAATAGCCTTTTACATCTTAACACTTCTGTAATGGTATTATTGTACTGTACTGTAACACAAGCACAAGCACTGAGAGCCTACCCGCCCACGTGCTTGGCATGTGTCGGTGCACGATGCAATGTCTCGGAAATTTGTGTGAATGCCCAAAACAGAGAAATTTTTCTCAGAACGTTAAAAAAAAATCCAGGTAATGGAGAGTTCCGGGGATTGAAGATTGGCTAACAGGGAGACTACTGTACTTTACGTGCCATCCTCAGTAGATGTTTATATACACATGCTTGTACAGTACTGAACGAATCTGTACTAAATTAATTCAAATGAAACCACATCTCTACTTAAACAGTACCAGCAGGCCATCCATAGTAATAAATAAGACAGAGTATTATGTAACATCACTACAGTATACAGAGGGTCCCTGACTTACAAATGAAAGAGGTTAAACTTGAAATTTACAGTATTTTATTTACCTGATGACTTATTTTTTTAACTTATTTTTTTTTTAGGGGGAATAGCCTACCCGGGCACAAGTCATCGACCCACAACAGGGCCCGGGGAGCGAAAAAATAAAAGTAAAAAAAATTAAGGGCAGAAGAGAAAAAGATTATATTAAACTACACCGTGAAGATGCTGGAAAGCCATCTTTTTAAAGTGAGACAGATTGTATAAGTATGGAAACACAGAAAAAGGCAGAGCATTCCACAGTTTAGCTGTGTGAGGAAAGAAGGAGGTACTATAACGGGTTATTATAGTGTGACCGACAGCCACAGAGAAACGGTTGGCACCGCAGGCAAGACGTGTGTTATGAGCCCACGGCCTTGCCGGCGGTACACAGGATGCCAAATCCACTGAACATTGCCCGTTAAAGTACCTGTAAAAGAGAGAGAGTGAAGCAATATTGTGGTGAAGAGAAAGGGAAGAAAGATTATCAACTAAAGGAGGAGAGTTAATAAGACGAAATGCCTTTGATTCCACCCTACCTAACAGTTGAAGAGCCACCCCAGATATGAGAGCAGTACTCCATGTTAGGACGAATGAATCCCTTATACACTTGAAGCAAATGCTCAGGAGTGAAGTACCTACGGCATCTGTACACCATTCCCAGCTTTCGGGAGGCAGATTTAGCAATGTTGAGGATGTGTGGCTTCCATGATATATTAGAGGAAATGGTGAGGCCTAGCATATCTATTTTAGAACTCGGTAGAATGAATGCATCCTGAAATGTGATTGGTGGGAGATCTTCTATTTTGGAAAGAGTAATTGGTAAATACTGAGTTTTATTACTATTGAATTTAACCAAGTTTCTACCTCCCCATTCGGAGATGCTGCACAGATCCGCATTGATAGATATCAGCTCTAGAAACAGATCTAGTTTGAGAGTTAGGAGGAAGGGGAAAATGTGAAGAAGAGTGAAGAGTAGAATCATCAGCGTAAGAATGGATAGAATTAGTTGTAGTGTGAAGTAAATCATTGATAAAAAGAAGGAAGAGAGTTGGTGAAAGAACAGAACCCTGTGGGCCACCACTATTGGTAGAGAGCGAGAGATCGATCCCTCGACAACAACTGCCATGAATCGGTTCTCAAGGAAGCTAGAGATGAGAAAACAAAGTGGGGGAGAGAAACCATAAGAGGGAAGCAAAGATTTGTGCCACTTACTGTATTTTATCATTCTATTTCTTCTTTTCTCTTAAATTAAGTGATTTTAGATGTATATAAGGACTTAGGCTATGATATAGCGGGATTTTAAACATTGTTCTATAAGTACAGTATGAACATAGTATGTGTTCCAACTTAAGAACATCCTCAGGAACAGAACCCCCTGTATAAAATTATACTGAGGGAAATACAAAATGGATGTCACCCGTCAGATATCACTCACGATGTGGATGGGATGACAGAACGCCCCACAAGTTTGTCATCATCCAACTGCACGACTCCCTTAAAAGATATCTCGACACCCTGAATGAACTGAACCAAACCAGGGTGAATAAACTAGTAATTAAAACAAGCACACCCTAAGTATTCACCTGCAGAAACACCCTCCCTACCTTAACCACCCAAACTATCCCTCAGGTCATATAGAAACACAAGAATTTCGAATGGTCTAGTTTGCGGCCTTGACAACATCACTTATCTCCACACTGGTTAAAACTACCAAGACTAATTTGATGTTCTGTTTGTCACCTCCAACCTGTCAACACTAAGTGAGAGCCTAGAGTAATGGAGCAAGGAAACAGTGTGGTGGTGGATATCTTACCACATTAATTAACACAAGTATCATTCATTCCACAAGTATAAAAGGTAAACTCAAGGTGTAATACAGATACAGTAAATGTTTATTTGTTCGTTATTTAATACTTAATACCCCGAGGAACCTTTGAAGATACTGTAAGTACAGTATAGTCAAACAGTAGTGGTATGTATATGTAAAATTAACACTATACTTTCCTTGTGAGTATGATGCTAATTGTCTTACATACAGTAGAGAAGAGAAGGGACCACCTAAGCAAGCCTATACTACATCATGCTGCCAAGGTATCCTAAATAAAGTCACACATGGTATTGTATTACATGGTCTAAATAGTCACCATCATTTTAGGGTTATTGTCCAAGGTTGTGTGTGTTAGCTGAGGTTATCTGATGGCAGCTCTTCATGGCTCTTGTAGTCTCTCTTGTCAGGCTCCTAACTCTTCTTACAACCTCTCCCCCTGTACTTGTTGACCTGCCCCTGGTTCTCCTACTCCTGCATCTCTTGACCCAGTTAGTCTCCTCCATTCTCTCTCTATAAGCCATTAGTTGGGGGGAGTTTCCACATCAAACAGACCCTTGATATAATGGACCTTCATTAGATGGAGGTTTCACATCTAACGGACCCTCGACATAATGGACTTTCCTCTCCAAATACAGTCCGTTAAACAGAAATTTCACTACTCTCAATAACATCAGTCAACAATTATGTACTACAAGGAAGATTCCACATAAGAAGCCTCCAATAAGATAGAGAATTGTTCTAACATAAAGGCTATCAGATGCTTCACACTAGTTCTGAATACATTAAATGAAATCCTTCTACTACACACATATTACTAACAGAGGGATGGATGAATGTTGTCGAATCCCAGGTTGTGTCTCACCTTCTCCAACCTGAAGGTGTCGCCTATGGTGGGTGCGAAGGGTCCCTGTACCACCACCAGATCTTCAGCAGTTACCAGGTGCTGTTTGCCCTGTAGGTAAATGACGGCAAACAGACGTCCGTGTTTGTTTTCGCCGATCTGGTCGTTCACTCGTTGTATCGCATCTGTCCGGGACACGACAACGCAATTAATTATATATAAGGTTTTGATTCCCAGCTACAACAACAATGACACAACTACCAATGTCACAATCACCAACAACCCAACAACTACCATTACCGCTTATATAACAACCACAACCACCAACACCCCACACGAACAATACTATAACACCTTGACACGCACCTCGACTGGATGAACACGACAACGCACTTTAAAATTCGATCTATTCTTGTGACTATTGAAGGTTGACTCATTGTTAATCCTCTACAAGTACTTCGATGGATTACATTCCACTTGGACGATCAATCTGTTTTATGCTATTTAACCTGACCTGACCTGACCTCGCCTAGCCTGACCTATCAAAACCTAACCTCACCTAGCCTGACCTATCAAAACCTAACCTAACCTAGCCTAGCCTGACCTGACCTATCAAAACCTAACCTAACCTCACCTCCAAATACAGTAAAGTGATTAATCTTTAGGTGAAATAAGCTAGGGGACGAGGAGGAACATTCAGATTAGATTAAGTTTGGTGAAGTTAAGTTACGCAAGGTTAGGGTAGATTAAGTCAGTGTGCAATTGTTTATTTTTTCGATGATGTAAGCTGGAGGGGCAGGGGAGAGGGGAGATGAGGGGGAGAGATGAAGGGGTGAGGGGAGGGGGAGAAAGGGAGAGGGGAGAAATGGGGAGGGGGAGGAATAATCCCCCATAATCCAATACGTACATTTGGTTAGCTCCTCCTCTGCCTCGGGGGTGTGTTCAACAACCTCCTGCTCCACCACACTAGGTTGAACACTCGTCCGCAATACTGCTGGTGTGGCGCGAGTCCTCAGTCCTCTAACTTGTGACGCCAGGGACAATTTTCCTCTTGTTTCTCTTAACATAGTGTCTGAAATAGGGAAAAAACACTGTACTGTATCTTTCATTACTGTATTATTGGGTAAAATTATCATTTCGGTCATGCATTTATTTGGAAGTGAGAATTGTTCAAAACACATCAAAAACCACCAGAAAAACATAGGGTTAATATTGACGACTGACCCGTGGATGAGTGATTTGTTTTACTGTTTATTTTCATACTTTATTTTCATCAGTGAGTTCTGATATGATAACCATTTCTTGTGCAAATGTTTTGTTTTGTAGATAATTAGGCGCCTAAGATGCACTACTTTGTCTTCCCGGCAGTAATACGGCCGCGCTCGCTCTTCATTCCCGCGCCAGTTTCACGTGGCGTGTGAAGGTAGTTGCCGGTGTTGTGCTACAGGTCTAGTGGTTATAAAGGAACTTGGCTTGAAAATGCCAAGATTAAACCCACTTTTATTTATAAACATCTTTCTAATCAAGTAATTTTCACAGCAATACTGTCAAACCGAGCTGTGTGCAAAGTCTGTTGTATATGACATCTTTCAAAACACTCCGCCTCCCGGACTGCATAAGTGTCGATGTTGCCGGCTGGTCTCACGTCCAGAAAAAACCTCAAATTACACCATATTTTATTAAGTTCTCTCTGTTTAATATAGCAGAGGTCTGGGTAAGGAAGTTAGGTAGGTTTGTTTGGTTAGGTTGGTTAGATGTGTTTTTCATACCGACTGAGGTTAGGTTATGTTTAGTTTAGAAATAAACATTTTTTAACATATTTGCACAACTACACCAGTAGCCACTATAAAAAACAGTGAAATTACGGCATTTTTAAAATCATTTCCGATGAAAAGTTGACCACGGGTCAGTCGTCAACAATTAACAAATATAATTTCAACCTAACCTAACCTACCCCAACCTGACGTGACTTAACCTAAACATAAAATCCTAAATTCACGAGTCAGTGTTCCAGAGTATTACACAGCTATGATACCCGTACTGTTGATACTGTAATGTAAGTTACAAATACCATAGTTAAGTGATCAACAATGGTACTCTTGATATTGTGTTGTTATCCCCTCGTGTATGTGGTCTAATTGATACACCCCATTTCGGCGCCAATATCAAATCCGTTTCGTCATCACTAACAGTCGCTGGTAATAGTCACAGAATGTAAGTTATTATTTTACACTAATACTTAAACATGTATACAGACGACTCGAGAAGTATTACTATCCATGAATATTAATTATTTAATAAAAAAAACGGTTAAAACATTGGTAAATAAACAAAATACAGAGCAAATGAAGGTTATTTAGCACCAGAGAATAAACCACCGAGCAGTGAGATGATTAACGTTATTATCAGTTAAGGTGTAGAAGAGGGTCACCACCAGAAGGTCTATTTTCCTGTGCTTATTGTTTGGATGATTTTAAGTATATTAAAAGAAAAGACAACTTCATATTATGATTTGAAGTATTTTTTTAGCGGGCATTAAAATTACATCTCTAGATGGTTTTGTGACGCCACATTATTTTTCTTACCTTTAAAAAGTCGGGCAGCTATATGCTCGTCTTTAATGAATTGTCTTAGTACTTTTTATTATTTTCTATCCCCGGCAACAGTTATTTTCGTGTATATATTGATGGGAATGAACGTGGTGACGAAACGGGTAAGGCAGTGGTGACGATATGGACAGCCCCCAGTCTAACAGTTTAAGTGGTAGACTATAGAACACGAGTATAATTAAACCTCAATTACATCATATTTAACACCTTCCTGGTGCCTAATATTAACTATAATTAATAACTCACTATTACTGTATATAAATAAAACTGTAATTCATCTCACCAGTGTTAAATAAAGGCCTGAGAGCCATTAATGTTGGCCTCACATACCGGCCAGCAACACCAGCCAACGCCATGTTGTTGTTCTGCTGAAGAGCGAAAACAACTCGGCCCAGTGGATAGACAGGGAGGCAAGAATAGACAGAGGGAGGAATAGACAGATAAGATAGATGGAGGGATAGATAAAGGTCTTATTGGATCCTTAATTAATGCATTTTTTTTTAAATCTGAGGGTTGGCGGCCACAGTCCTCCACTCTAAACGTTCTCAGGTTATTTTTACCAATACTCCAAGGTTTTGTATCTCTGGGGACCAGGTTTTTAATTTCATTCATCCATCCTAGTCTCTGCCTTCCCTTGGCTCTCCTACCATCACCTTTACCCATTAATATCTCTACCATTATCCCTTGGCTCTCCTACCATCACCTTTACCCATTAATATCTCTACCATTATCCCTTGGCTCTCCTACCATCACCTTTACCCATTAATATCTCTACCATTATCCCCTGGCTCTCCTACCATCACCTTTACCCATTAATATCTCTACCATTATCCCCTGGCTCTCCTACCATCACCTTTACCCATTAATATCTCTACCATTATCCCCTGGCTCTCCTACCATCACCTTTACCCATTAATATCTCTACCATTATCCCCTGGCTCTCCTACCATCACCTTTACCCATTAATATCTCTACCATTATCCCCTGGCTCTCCTACCATCACCTTTACCCATTAATATCTCTACCATTATCCCTGGCTCTCCTACCATCACCTTTACCCATTAATATCTCTACCATTATCCCCTGGCTCTCCTACCCTTACCTTTACCCATTAATATCTCTACCATTATCCCTGGCTCTCCTACCATCACCTTTACCCATTAATATCTCTACCATTATCCCCTGGCTCTCCTACCATCACCTTTACCCATTAATATCTCTACCATTATCCCCTGGCTCTCCTACCATCACCTTTACCCATTAATATCTCTACCATTATCCCCTGGCTCTCCTACCATCACCTTTACCCATTAATATCTCTACCATTATCCCCTGGCTCTCCTACCATCACCTTTACCCATTAATATCTCTACCATTATCCTGTCATCACTAATTATATGACCAAAGTATCTCATTTTTATTTTTCTATACATATGAAGTATTTCTCTTGAAGTTTTTGCTAATCTTACTTATTCATTTATTTAGCTATGAATAGAGAATTTCGCAGATGTGCTGAATGGGTGTAAAGTGAAGAGGATAACCCATAAACTGTATAAGGCATGGGAGTATAAAGGGCCCTCCATGGTGTAAAGTGAAGAGGATAACCCATAAACTGTATAAGGCATGGGAGTATAAAGGGCCCTCCATGGTGTAAAGTGAAGAGGATAACCCATAAACTGTATAAGGCATGGGAGTATAAAGGGCCCTCCATGGTGTAAAGTGAAGAGGATAACCCATAAACTGTATAAGGCATGGGAGTATAAAGAGCCCTCCATGGTGTAAAGTGAAGAGGATAACCCATAAACTGTATAAGGCATGGGAGTATAAAGGGCCCTCCATGGTGTAAAGTGAAGAGGATAACCCATAAACTGTATAAGGCATGGGAGTATAAAGGGCCCTCCATGGTGTAAAGTGAAGAGGATAACCCATAAACTGTATAAGGCATGGGAGTATAAAGGGCCCTCCATGGTGTAAAGTGAAGAGGATAACCCATAAACTGTATAAGGCATGGGAGTATAAAGGGCCCTCCATGGTGTAAAGTGAAGAGGATAACCCATAAACTGTATAAGGCATGGGAGTATAAAGAGCCCTCCATGGTGTAAAGTGAAGAGGATAACCCATAAACTGTATAAGGCATGGGAGTATAAAGAGCCCTCCATGGTGTAAAGTGAAGAGGATAACCCATAAACTGTATAAGGCATGGGAGTATAAAGGGCCCTCCATGGTGTAAAGTGAAGAGGATAACCCATAAACTGTATAAGGCATGGGAGTATAAAGGGCCCTCCATGGTGTAAAGTGAAGAGGATAACCCATAAACTGTATAAGGCATGGGAGTATAAAGGGCCCTCCATGGTGTAAAGTGAAGAGGATAACCCATAAACTGTATAAGGCATGGGAGTATAAAGGCCCTCCATGGTGTAAAGTGAAGAGGATAACCCATAAACTGTATAAGGCATGGGAGTATAAAGGCCCTCCATGGTGTAAAGTGAAGAGGATAACCCATAAACTGTATAAGGCATGGGAGTATAAAGAGGCCCTCCATGGTGTAAAGTGAAGAGGATAACCCATAAACTGTATAAGGCATGGGAGTATAAAGGGCCCTCCATGGTGTAAAGTGAAGAGGATAACCCATAAACTGTATAAGGCATGGGAGTATAAAGGGCCCTCCATGGTGTAAAGTGAATTAAGACATACCAAGCCAAGCAGCAAGGGGGGTCTTTGTGTTGGTGCCCTTAATCCCTGTCCTGCTGTACTGCGCACATCATTGTCATTCCTATAAACCCCCTTTAATTCATATTACGCTACATAACATTCAAATCCACCGTGCTTGTAGTCTCAGAAAACGGGAAACATTGATAAAGACTAACTCACCTAATGAATGTTACGGAATTATTTGATGAATTGTACCCAACTACGGGTATATAATGTTAATCGTATGTACTCATAGCATTAAGGAGAACTCAAGGTACCTACAGGATGGTTGGGAAGGTCCAATTGATACGGACTAGTGTACTATAAGGGATAAGTGTAGATCGTAGTTTGAAGGTCATACTATGAACGTCTGTGAACTATTAGTGAACATAACTACTGCAGGTATCAGATTAAAATACAAGAGAACAATAGTCTGGTAAAAGGATAAATGTATCAGACCTATGTGAAGTGTTGGAAGTGATCCAGAAACTATGCTTCAAAGAAAATATCTTGTACACCTATGCCATGAAAATACGACACTAGGTCTTGTTCGGGTTGGCTCCTAGGCCGCCTCGGGCATACCGCCTTGATATTATAACCCAATGAATTTACCCAGGAACTAGCAAACCAGAACCTTACCTTAGTGTGTAATTTAGGATTACGATATGTATTTATAAAGCATAAGGTCACAATAGATAGGAAAATGGAGATGTGAGAACCATAAGAATTCAAAGTGAAATTTAAAGATTGGAAACTGTAGGCCTAAACAGAGAGGAGCGCGGGAGTCGGAGCATTATAGTGGATCCTATACCCAGCTCTGACCTACTGGACCAGCAAGACCAGCGCCTCACCAACCAGCTCCCTCAGAAAGCTCCTCGCCCTACAGGACCTCTGAGCAAGCTACTCCTCACCTAGTCACTCCTCAGTACTGCGCTGTACAACAATATATATACAGAAAGCACATTGTGAGTTTCTGTTCTACCTCATTCCTGAGTGTGAGATATCTACATGTACGTACGTTTGTGTGCCCATACTAAGAGAATTGACAACTGGCCACATACCGTACACTACAACATCACCCTTAGTGATGCCTCGACTTCTCCCAACACAGGTCAGTGCCCTTCATCATGCTTTATTCAGCCCTAAACAGACTTATCTAGCAGTATTTACATTAAAACCATGCCTGATGTTATAAAGTGAAGCCATAGTGTACTAGTGTGTGGTGACGAAAGCCCCTCAGGCTTTATTCTTAGTGATGCCTCCACTTCTCCCAACACAGGACGCGTTCTGAGCGCCTCTCGGGCATCAGCCATGACCACACTGTGAAGGCCAGTGGTCCTGCACCTCCACTGTGGATCTGTAGATACCCTGCATATCACCAGCCAGGATAGGAGAAGTTTAGCTGTCGCTACGTGGAGCGACTTCCTAATACCAGGCGTGGAACCAGTACTGGTATGATTACCTGGGAAGTATCCCATCTGCTCATCAAGAGAAGTGTAATGAAGATAATAGTTGTTCTCCTGACGAAGGCCAACTCTTTTTGTAATGTAACAGGTGATGTTATACTCTAACAGGTGGTGCAGTCTGACGTGTTTGGTGTTATAAGTTAGAAGGAATGACCGAGGAAAGGAGGGCAATGGTTGTTATGAGGAATGAGTATGTTAATGACACGTCTGTTGTTGAGCAGTGTAACTAAAATCATAGTTGTTCTTCTGAGGACGGCCAACTCTTCTGGTATTTTGACGGAATGCAATATGTTTTATAAGGAATAAATTAGTTAAGACATGTCATTGTTTCACCCTTCTTTCCCTTATCGATTTGGTCAATGAAAAACCCAACTCAATGCCTAGTTCACTCTGCCCGCTACCTAACGAGCTACATTCTGCCCAGATGGGTCTGGTGGCAGCGACCTTTAAAATTAAGACTATAGTTAAGTTATCCGCCCTTAGGCTTAGTGACCCCCAGTCTGGCAGTATTAATTGGTGGCTATAGCGGTGGGATGGTTTTTAATCATTGATCAAATCCGAGGGAATTGAAGCTGTGATTAAGTTACAGAAGTATTTTAATGATGGATTATCTGATTTTTGAGTGACACTTGCATGTGAATAACATTGATTGGGTACAGAAATGTCCGAAGAATTTTTGGAAGTTTAGACAGTACTGAAGTACTGTAATGTGGATCATTGCTTTGTTTTGTGTTTTACCCAGTGTTAATATTTATTATTAATTACAGAAGTTGTGGATTAACCTTGTGGGCGTTGAAGTAAGGGAGTCCACACTGTGTCGGAGAAGTGTCTCAAGTGGTTCACCTCTGATGTTTGTTAAGTGGTTCGCCTATTGAATGCCATAGGACTTTCGGTCTCCAGTTGATGTGAGTTACAATTTTTGGTGCCATGTTAAGATGTTGCATAGTGTTGTATTGTACCATTGATCAATTCAGGTTGTAGTAGTGCAGGAGAGTTTTTGTGTTAAGTGGTTCATATTTTTGTTTGGTCAAGTGGTAGCATTTTTAGGTCAAAATGATTAGGGCAGTAAAATTGGGTTACATGGGTGGTGACACAGCGAGAGAGATGCTTGAAGAGGCCATGGTAATCATCAACAGGCAACGGGTAGAGCTAGAGGAATTACAGAAACAGGTTAAGGAACTAAAACGAGAACTCCAGCATGCAAAGAACCCAAACAATGAGCAAGTGTCAGTTGTAGATGACACAACCCCACTCCATACGGATAAGCTAACATTGGAAGAATTGCAGAGCTTACAGGTAGACGAGGTCCTAAGTAAGTTTTTTCGGAAAGTTGAAAGATGTGTAACAGAGGATGAGGGAAGAATATCAACTGCCCTGAGTTGGATGGAAAACAGCGTGGCCAAGTTGGTACGGCCATTGTTAGTGGCAGTTAGTGAGGACTGGGACAGTTTCAGAAAGGTTATGTTAAGATTGAATTTAGGACCATCCACCGAAGATGAAGCATGGGAGGTGTTGAAACGAATCGTGTATAATGTGAATGATAATCCCCGATATTATGTATGTGACATGAGAGCGAGGTTGACAGTCATGGAGAAGAAGTTTGGAGTAATAACCACTAAAGATACTTACATAATGCAAAGACTGTACAGAGCTGTGCCTGAACCAATGCAGAGAGACTTAACCCCCTATACACAAGACTGCCGTACATTGGATTCATTTGTAAGAATGTTAGAGCGAAGTAGGAGTGAATATCTGGGTGGGGATAAAATGGACTTATATCACGTTAGACAATCCCGCCAGGAACAAGTACGACCCACGACAGTACCAGAGAATTATAGAGTTCAGGGAGACTACCATATGAACAAGACTGACGGAAGACGGGATCAGAACACGAGGTGGAAGGAGACTAACACTCAAGGTTGGACAGGGACTGAATGGTGTGGGTATTGTAGGAGGGATAGCCATAGCCCACATAATTGCCCCTCCAGGCCCAGACCAGGTTCATGTTATGCGTGCATGAGGATGAACTGTAGGAGTTTCTTTACCACTTGTCCAGGACGCCAAGCTAGGAATCACCCTCCGAGCCAATGACCACGACAACCTTTCCCACACAGTTCTCCATGTATTAAGTTACCTATATGTGGACATACTTGTATAGCGTTGGTTGATACGGGTAGTGAATCTACGATCATTAAAGAGTTTGGTGAGTGCCTTGAGGGTGGGGCCCATTAGGCCTTGTACCCAAAGATATGTAGCTATTAACGGGGAAGAGTGTAAGACCCAAGGCACTGTTGTCATCAGTGTACAGTTGTCCCGTAGGAAAAGAATCCGTCACCAAACCGTAATAGTGGAAGATAACATGTTGGATACTGATGTATTATAGGGAGCAGACATTTTAGGCAGATTTGGAGTTTGGTGGCATCAAGAAAAGAATCAGTTTGATAGGTTGATTTGTTTAATTATAAAGTTTTTGGTGGGAGGAGACAGTTGCTCAGGTGGTTTGTCGGATTTTTTTTTTTTTTGAGTGTTGACTTCACCAGTGGAAACGAAGTCACCTCGACATTTTAAATATCAGTTCTTACGAACTGAAGTCCGGAAATCCAGTTGTTGCATATGTTGTCGAAGGAAGAAATCTCAGGTTTTTATGTGTGTTGTTGGAAGTTTATTTTGGGTTGTTGACTCATTCCGGGTGAGGGAGACACCCCGCCCTTGAGTACCAGTTCTGCTGAACTGTGAGATAGAAAATCCAGGTTTGTGTTATGAGCCCCATTGTGTAATTATAGAACCACAGTTTTGTGTTGAAAAGGTGAATTATTATTGAAACGGAGTACCGTAGTAATCTGAGGAAGTGTCTGATGTAACTAATTCCCCATTCATAGACAAGAATTTATATTCCTTAGATATGTAATTTCATGCAGAGAACTTTTGTTGTGTATGTAATGTCAAAGGGTCACTGTTTATGTGTTGATGCCAAAAGTATGTTGAGGTAACACTCTGATGAACTGTTAGGAACATGTTCCTTATACTGTATTGTACTGAAATAACGGAATTGATAAGATGTTGCATGTATAGGTAACGGAGACCCGAGTATGAGAAGTTTAAGTCTCCTTATAGTTTCCTTTTAATGATATACTGTGTACCGAAGTAGCAGAATTGTAAGCTGTTGTCCGATGTATATGGTAGCGGAGACGCTTGTGGGAAACGTTTGTCTCCTTATGTTTTGTTTGATGTATTAAGATACTGTAATCACGAACTGTTAGGATGTTGTCAAATGTATGTACACTACAGCGTTAGTGCTTTTGCATATTATTCCGCATAATATGAATCTTTGGGAGGGGAAGGCTATGTACTGCGCACATCATTGTCATTCCTAAAAACCCCCTTTAATTCATATTACGCTACATAACATTCAAATCCACCGCGCTTGTAGAGTCTCAGAAAACGGGAAACATTGATAAAGACTAACTCACCTAATGAATGTTACGGAATTATTTGATGAATTGTACCCAACTACGGGTATATAATGTTAATCGTGTGTACTCATAGCATTAAGGAGAACTCAAGGTACCTACAGGATGGTTGGGAAGGTCCAATTGATACGGACTAGTGTACTATAAGGGATAAGTGTAGATCGTAGTTTGAAGGTCATACTATGAACGTCTGTGAACTATTAGTGAACATAACTACTGCAGGTATCAGATGAAAATACAAGAGAACAATAATCTGGAAAAAGGATAAATGTATCAGACCTATGTGAAGTGTTGGAAGTGATCCAGAAACTATGCTTCAAAGAAAATATCTTGTACACCTACGCCATGAAAATACGACGCTCGGTTTTGTTCGGGTTGGCGCCTAGGCCGCCTCGGGCATACCGCCTTGATATTATAACCCAATGAATTTACCCAGGAACTAGCAAACCAGAACCTTACCTTAGTGTGTAATTTAGGATTACGATATGTATTTATAAAGCATAAAGTCACAATAGATAGGAAATGGAGATGTGAGAACCATAAGAATTCAAAGTGAAATTTAAAGATTGGAAACTGTAGGCCTAAACAGAGAGGAGCGCGGGAGTCGGAGCATGCTCCGACTTCCAACACAGGTCAGTGCCCTTCATCATGCTTTATTCAGCCCTAAAAAGACTTATCTAGCAGTTTTTCCATCTTAAAACCTTGCCTGATGTTATAAAGTGAAGCCATAGTGTACTAGTGTGTGGTGACGAAAGCCCCTCAGGCTTTATTCTTAGTGATGCCTCCACTTCTCCCAACACAGGACGCATTCTGAGCGCCTCTCGGGCATCAGCCATGACCACACTGTGAAGGCCAGTGGTCCTGCACCTCCACTGTGGATCTGTAGATACCCTACATATCACCACCCAGGATAGGAGAAAATCACTGTATACTTGAGAAGTTTAGCTGTCGCTACGTGGAGCGACTTCCTAATACCAGGCGTGGAACCAGTACTGGTATGATTACCTGGGAAGTATCCCATCTGCTCATCAAGAGAAGTGTAATGAAGATAATAGTTGTTCTCCTGACGAAGGCCAACTCTTTTTGTAATGTAACAGGTGATGTTATACTCTAACAGGTGGTGCAGTCTGACGTGTTTGGTGTTATAAGTTAGAAGGAATGACCGAGGAAAGGAGGTCAATGATTGTTATGAGGAATGAGTATGTTAATGACACGTCTGTTGTTGAGCAGTGTAACTAAAATCATAGTTGTTCTTCTGAGGACGGCCAACTCTTCTGGTATTTTGACGGAATGCAATATGTTTTATAAGGAATAAATTAGTTAAGACATGTCATTGTTTCACCCTTCTTTCCCTTATCGATTTGGTCAATGAAAAACCCAACTCAATGCCTAGTTCACTCTGCCTGCTACATAATGACCCCAGCATCTGGCAGTATACTACGTTGTGATATGTTTACAATAATCTTGATTGACCTAGTTCTCAGACACTGATTGTATCATAAAGTTTAGAATTAAGGTATAAAGTTATAAGGCATGAAGTCACAATACCTAGGGAAATGATTTGTGTGTGGGGCCAGAATAAAGACTAGGTGATTAGAACACATTAGTAACCATAGGCCTCGTCTGACACACATACAGCCCCATAGAGCCAGTAATATGGAGACTTTTCATGTGTGTGTGAAAAGTTTACCCAAATGGAGGACGGTATGTGGTGTTGGGGATGCCGCCAGACCCAGGAAATGGCCAGTGTGTGAGGAGCCCCCAGTACAATACACAGTTATGGAATGAATGACATAATCCCTGTAGTGTGAGCTCAGACTTCATAAGGATCTCTGGATGACTCATAGTGAAGTTTGAGAGCTCAGGTGCTATAATGAGTTACCTTAGTTGGAGTACATAGTCTACCTCATACAGTACAGGTCTACAGTACAGAAGTATACCTGTTAGTTCCTTAGTAGACTACATTACCTGTCTAACTTTGTGAAGTGTGTAATTTTGTTCCTTCTATTCAGGTGCTAATGAATGACCTTAGTATCATTGACCTTAATGGGAGGTCATATTTTTGTACTGTAACTAAGTGTAATTGTATCGAATTGATTCTCGTATAAGACCAATGTTTATTAATAAATTAGATAAGAGTAATTATGTTTTAATCTTCCTTTCCACCATAAAATTTAATGAATAAGAAGTACTGAACCTAAGTCTATGAAGTAATATTATTGAATATTTGACCCAGCCAGAGGGGACCCAATGCACAAGATGTTAAGGATTAATTACCATCAATATAATTTCTATATGAATGTTTAATATCAACTCTGGTCTCTGATACAAGATATAAAATGCATAAAAAAAATGCCTGTCAAGTTTTCCTTCATATTTCATTTTAAATGGTTGAGAGAGTGAGACCCTGATAAAGCACATTTACAGACACCTGGATTAAGAACCCTGGTTTATTTTACCTGATGATTAAAGACCCTGATGTTACCCGAGACATTTAGGTTAGCTTAAGGTTTTGTTAGTTTGGATTAGGTTAGGTTATGTTAGGTTAGGTTAGGTTAGGTTATGTTATGTTAGGTTAGGTTCGGTTACATTATGTGAAGTGAACATCGAGGGATTTAATAATCATCGGGTAAAATAAACTGAGGTACCTAAAACACCACCACAGTACAGACGACCAATTATAGACTTATATCACTACTTTTAACAATCACAACACAGATGATTGTTGTTACTGTACTTTTAACAATCACAACACAGATGATTGTTGTTACTGTACTTTTAACAACCACAACACAGATGATTGTTGTTACTGTACTTTTAACAATCACAACTCAGATGATTGTTGTTACTGTACTTTTAACAATCACAACTCAGATGATTGTTGTTACTGTCCTTTTAACAATCATAACTCAGATGATTGTTGTTACTGTACTTTTAACAATCACAACACAGATGATTGTTGTTACTGTACTTTTAACAATCACAACATACAGATAAACACACTGACCCACACAATCTCAGTTTTATATATATTACGGGCTACAGGGACACATTACCCACTTCAATACTGTCAAGGGAACATTCAGAAATATAATAGGTGTTTTAATCACTACAGGTGTTACTCTAAAGAACGACCTACATTCCTGAGGCTTATCCACGAGTCTATTTATCCGTGAGTCTATTTATCCGTGAGTCTATTTATCCGCGAGTCTATTTATCCGTGAGTATTTATCTGCGATTCTATTTTTCCGTGAGTCTATTTTTACTCTTGTGTCAATTTTGTAGGCAGCTGTAGTTAAGACTTGTAGTTAGGACTTATAGTTAATTGGTTCGTTCGTATCTCTGAATGTTCGTAAGTTGAGAAACAGCTGTGTATAATATTAGCAGATAATATTTTTTTGGGGTTGAGAAGTTTGGAATTGTAGGTTAAGAAATAAACAATAAAATAATGATAAAAGATAATAAAATGAAATTAAAATCATAGTGAAACCTCCATCAAATGAAAGTCCATTATATCAAGGGTTCATTAGATGTAAAACCCCCATATTATGAACTATATAGAGAGAAAAGTTTGTTATGTGGAAGTTTCGCTGTATCACAAAATTACGAAGATAAGTGGACAAAACAAGGCCCTCTGATGTTTGTGTTCCCCCGACTCCCGTGACTAACAAAACACCTATATTTCGGCATCACAAAATACCATCAAACATTCTATTAATTAAAAGTACAGTAGCTAAAAGAACTATCTGTGCAAACTTCGAGGGAAACAATATGGACGATAAATTTTAAGTATATGAGGGCTGTCACTAGTCACACGTAAAATTTCGGAGTATGTAGACCTCCACCTGCACAGATAGTTGTTTTAGCTACTGTAAAATAATTTATTGAAGGTTCACAAGACAGCAAATTATACCTTCAGGACAATTATAATTTGAGCCTCAGGTACAAGATCAACTTGTTACTCTTCCCTCTCACACAGTTGTTCAATAAGAGTATGAATCCCTTTAGCCTAAATAAAATACTTCAACACATACATAATACAGTAACATTACTTGGGTCACTGTAAGAGTAACCACTGTATTAAGGAAGGCAGTTATTTATGTATTTAATAATTAACAAAATTATAATCAATTCACAACATAAAAAAAAACATTATTGAAAGACAGTAAATATTCTATAAGTTTTTATATAAAATTTCAACCAAGTTACCTGAAGTGTTGAAATATTATACTAAACTGCACCAATTACAAGTCAGATGCTAATGAACATCAAATATTACTGGGGACACATTTGATCCTTTCACTTGAGCAGTATTCTAATAAGCACACTCTATATACAGTATATTATTAAACACAAATTGCACTTTCTATCGTAAAAAACAACAACGATAACTTGTCAATAAAGGATGTCTTCCATGACGGCCCTGAACTGTTGCCATCATTAAGGTGATAAAAAACCCTTTCGTGATAAAGGTCTCAAACTGCGTGATACTGGAACACGCAGTCTACCCTACCATACCTTACCCTACCCTATCCAACCTTACCCTACCCTATCCAACCTTACCCTACCCTATCCAACCCTACCCTACCCAACCTTACTCTACTCTACCCAACCCTACCCCAGTACCTATCCTACCCTAAAAATACTTAAATACAGTACCAAATCGCTAAGAAAATTTTGATAGTACACATTCTAGACTGTTGGACAAATAGTAGACCATAAACTATTGCATAAATATGTTGTAAATCGGACGTTATATTATCACCCTAACCTAAACTACCTGTGTCATTCCTAAAACTGGTGAGGGAAGGATATGAAACAGCTAAACATGATGACAGATTAAAGCTTCTCTTACATTAATATTCTACAAAGAAGAAACACAATAGTCTCACTCAACCCCCCACAGACTAACACACAGCCTCACATATTTGCCACTGAAATATAAACAGTGATGCTATACTTGACAGGCATTCCGTGACTTATGTAAAGGTATACCAAGGGAGGTCTATTATTCATATTTGTCTTAGGGAGTCTTAATACAGTCACACACTAGTATATTATATAAACAATGAAGTAATTATAACTTGATGGATATTTAAGCCTGTGTTCAGAGCTCCATCGATGAACTCTAAAACACAGTGCCGGTATTTCACATTTTTTTATGGTAACGTCTTTGTGAACTTCGCATTGCAGTGTACAGTACAGGTGTCCCTTGATTCACAATAGGTTTATCAGTCATGAAAAATCCTTATTAAATTGAAGGATGACTGTACTCTTTCTAGAACACAGATAGAGCCTCAGTACAGCACATTATCCCTGATTTACAATAGAGTTGAACACCTGAAAACCCTAACGTAAATCAAATTAATGTAAATCTCGTGTCTTTTAACATGGGTTTTCAATGGAATATGTTCCCGACTTGTCCAACACAAAAAAAATAAATGATTCTACACAAATTAAATAAATACAAAAAACTAAACAACACTCACCAAATGATGGAGCGCTGACACCAACAGGACGCTTGCTGGCCATTTTCATAGTTACAGTACACTCACAGTCATCAAAACAGAGGAATAACAGCAAAGTATCACAGTGAACACATTACATGACACGAGCGAGAGCAGATACAATTACAGTACAATACGTTGAAACAAAGAGAGGAACTGTAGTACACATCGTGGCCATCAGACAGCATGCGGGTAGGTGACGCTGCGTGGAAGATGAAAAAGCAGTTCATGTGTACGTCGGCCAACACAGATTTGATAAGTGAAGGGAAAGATGAGCTTCCCCGTGTTTACATTCCACATGAGTGAGTTTAGCCTAACGATAACTATTGTTAACTTGGATTTTGCGTAATGTAAATCAAGCGAAGCCGTTAAAACCTGATTAACATTGACGTGGATGATCATAAATCGAGAGACACCTGTACTAAGATCTGTTAACCCTTACACGGCAAGTTAGATTAGTTAGGAAAGTTTAAATTAGGTTAGGTTATGTTAGGTTACACACCAGGTTAGGTTAGGTTACACGTCAGGTCACTGTAACTACCGCCCTTGTGTAAAAATAACAACAACAGTGAAAATTAAAACATCACCAAAGGTCATCACTGTTTTAAATGGAACACAAAATGGTTTTAGCTGCCAGTTAAAGGTTAATGGAGCAGTATATAATGGAACCTTCATCTAATGGACTACCTCTGTATATGGAGCGAGAAGTCCATTAAATCGAGGTTCAGTAAATATGAAACCCCCAAATAGTGAACTACTGTATATGGGGCGAGAAGTCCATTTGATCGAGGGTTTCAGTTGATAATGTTGTTTTTGAGAGCCTAAGGTCATCTTTGTTATGTCGTCTCAAAGAAGAACTATATATTGTTCAGTGTGTGGTTGTGTGTATGTAAGAATGATTTTTTTTTCCAATGGTGTCGTTCGATGTTGTTAGCTAAATGATTATTTCACAAGAACAAGATGTAAAATTAATCCCAAATTGCCTTTTTTTTCTTCTTCATTTTATACACATATGAAAGTACGTATTACTAATTTGATTTTCATTATGGCAGTGTGTATGAACAGTGTATATATATATAAAAACATTCAGTATATACATTCTCTAACCTATGCTAAATGCCATCATAGGTACAGTTTATCAATATTTGTAATGGATGATGATCATTATATTACCTGGTTATACACAATACAGTACTACTATATAATGTACAGTGTATACTCATCATACACCGTACTTATACACACTTGAGGTTGTACTTGAAATTTGTTCTTCACAACTAATAAACACAAAAAGGCTTCATAAAACACCTATTACATTCTCACACACAACTGTCATGTGAACTTATTAATATTTGATCTAATATTAATAAAAAAAATCTGAGAACATTATCTAGGCAAACAAAATTTTTCAAGCATGGTGTAACCTGCACTACAGTATGTTGTGTAGTGAACATTACCAGAGACTTGAGAAGGCATCACGGACCACAGCAGGAAGAATTAAGAAATAAAATCCTATATCTTTGTTAACAGCTAAATACACACCATTACACAGCCTCAAAATAAGTGAAATAATTTAGTAATGTTATAATACAGCCACAAATGCAGTTAGATATACTGTATAGCAATAAGAGGACCTATCATAGATGCAGAGAGCCTTATGCTCCCCTACCGTTCCTAACACACAACCCAATTTCTTAATAGTAATACAAAAAATCAATAAATGCTTCATATAAGAAATAAAATCCATTATTATATTGCACAGATAAAAGTTTAAGAGATTATAGGTATTAAAGATCTTATATAATAAATAACAATAAATGCATTAAATTATAGCAACAAGCTATTTACTGTACTGCACTTTCCCCCTTATTGGTTTACCTTATCTATACATTCTTCTCTCAACATTCTGGGCATTATACTCCTCAATACATACACATACATAATAATGGTAAATAATGATTGTCCCTCATGTAACGAGGATGGCCGGCCCAAAGGCCACCTAGGCGTGAATTTGTTTAAGGTGTAGAAGCTGTCGCCAACACAACAACCACACCCTAAGTTAACGAGCTGTATGACCCAGTGTTTAAGGTGTAGAAGCTGTCGCCAACACAACCACCACACCCGAGTTAACAAGCTGCATGACCCAGTGTTAAAGGTGTAGAAGCTGTCACCAACACCCTAAGTTAACGAGCTGCATGACCCAGTGTTTAAGGTGTAGAAGCTGTCACCAACACAACAACCACACCCTGAGTTAACAAGCTGTATGACCCAGTGTCAAGGAATAGTCCGAGAAGACCGGACAACTCGCCAACTGCACTGGCTAACCATTACCCAGGAACACAATCAGCAAATCGATTAACATCCAGGTCCCCAATTACTGCTGGGTAGACAGAGGCAAATGGCGTAAAGAAACTTGACCATAGTTTCACCCTGCCCGGGGACCGAACACACCCACATATTCTCCCCCCAAAGCCTTTACACATTCATACACATTCTTAGTGCATCATGGTTGGGTTAGGTTAAGGCACGATGGTTAACTTAATGAATAATTGTTTAGGTTACTGTATGATGGTTAGATTAGGTTAGGTTAGGTTAGGTTAGGTTAGATTAGGTTAGGTTAGATTAGGTTAGGTTAGGTTAGATTAGGTTAGGTTAGATTAGAGTATGGTGGTTTAGCTGTCATGTACAGTAAGTTCTCGTCTCTTTGCACTTAAATAAAAGAATGAAAATGTACAATAGGAATAACAAAAAATCATCCTTGAGAACGTGTACGATGATTACTGAATAAATATACGACTAATGAATAACAAATAAACGGCTCAACAATGACGATTTAATTACAAACACATCGATGTAATTTTTGTATTTGTTTCACACTAAATGAGATCTGTCGCAGTGTGTGTGTGTGTGTATGTGTCCATTATATCGAGGATCCGTCAGTGAAACCCCCATCAAATGCATTATATAGAGGTTTCACTACATCACAAATATATTCAAATAACAATAATGAAAGACAAAAATGTTCACAGTCTTTCTCAAACACCAAAGACATATTGCACATTTAACAGATCACACTGAGATACCTACACTGAGACACATCTGAGTACACTACATCAGATCCTTAGTTCCTCGTTCGGGTAGATGCGTGTGAGGTAAACAGCGACATATTCAATCATCATCAACATTATGGAAAAATATGGGGTTTTTTTAAGTTGGGTTTTTTAACATATTTTCCTCTTATGAGTCTGTTAGGCAGGTCAGGTGCTGGTCCCATTTATTAACATTAACCTACAGTTGGCTTGTTAGGTTAGGTTAGGTTAGGGGAGGTTTAGATTGAGGAAGGTAGAGGAGATTAAGTTAGGGTAGGAGAGGTTAGGTTAGGTTAGGTTAGGGGAGGTTTAGATTGAGGAAGGTAGAGGAGATTAAGTTAGGGTAGGAGAGGTTAGGTTGGGTTAGGTTAGGTTAGACTCCACAAGCACCTCAGCACACTTGTCCTTCAACTATTCACACTGAGGACACACAGAATATCTCTCCCATCATACTGTACTACACACTACAGTACCTACATATTCCCCTACAGTACACACACACACTTTTCAATTCTGTAGCAAATATGATTTTGATTACTAATACTGAATATAACTACAGTACTGTATTAAATATATATACATTTATACCCTACAGTAAATTTTGTGCAATACACAATTATAAAAATGATAAATAACTTAGTGAAATACAGAACAACTTTTGTATTTTTTCTTAATTCTATAATAAAACCTCAATTTAACCAACTATATGGAGAGAAAAGTCCATTATATCGAGGTTTCACTGAACTGTACTAATAATTACAGTTGATTTCTGTAACATCAAAGTCAACAACAACAGCGATGTAACGAGTAAACCTGAGATCTTTAATAAAGGTTGATTTTTTTTTAAACTGTTTATTTCTTCAACAATGGATCACCAACATATCCAACTGAGTCCGCAATTATAAGGTGTAAGGAATAGTATTGTTTACACTCACAGTATTGGTATCTGGTTCGTAAATACTGTTCACCAATCAGCTTCTTAGATACTGTTCACCAATCAGCTCTCACAGGTTGCCTTCTTAGCAGCCATCATCACTCACAGAATGTAATTGGTTGGTGGTATATGACATAATAATAGTAATAACAATAATAATAAAGAACCATAAAGAAATACAAAAATGAAAAAGATCAAGAGTGAGAAACAATATATGTATGTTGTGTTGTCAATTGTCAGGGAAACATTTCAGACCCTGTGTGTAAATGAGGCAGAAAGTCAGATCATCAACCTGGTCACATATGGCAGCAGGGTCTACCATTACACAACACATTATGCTTCCAATATCTTCCCAGGCGGTAGTACCTCTCTGTTTGGTAGCTGCCTACTACCTACTGCCTACCACATCCAACCAATGAGAACAAAGACACACACACACTGCCCTGGCTTGTCCTTAGTGAAGCCTGGACTCGCTTTAATTTCTTGCGTGTGATGCCTCCTTCTCTGATGCCTGAGTCCCTACCCTTATGTGATGCCCAACTCCCGTCCTACACAAGGGATGGTGCAGGCACGTCCAGACTGTCATCATCAGCACATAGACACCTTCACCGCCACCACTATAACTCGCCACTGAGACTACAGATAAAACCTTTACTGATTTAAACAGTCGTGGATCACCTGAAGATTATAGCCCTCCCCCCATCCCAAAAATACTCACCTGAATTCACCTCCCTCACCTTAACCACTATGAAACTATCTGAGGAGAAGGTAGGGGGTGTGGTAATCTTCAGGCGAGATATAGATTAAAACTATAAACAGTCTCGTGGCGTAAACTACATCGTTACGCCCGGCGAGTGGACGACGGACTCAACATGGCGGTGAGGGAGTTAAGCAGACAATTAATTTCAGAAAAACACACGTGAGATATTCCTCCTCCCAAGAGCGCCTCGTGCGTATAAAAGAATCTATCACACTGAATCAGAATCGTCTTTCTTTCTCCTCTTTCCCTCGTATTTCTTCTTATTAACGAAACTCTCAATCCTCAGTAATGGCTTCAACAACTGGGGGTCTGAGTCATGTACCTGGAAAACAGAGATATGAATAATAAACTTTTATATAATACTGTAGTGAATAACATGTAGACTACTCATAATACTACCATCATCAGTACTACCAACACTACTACTACCATCATCAGTACTACCAACACTACTACTACCACCATCAGCACTACCACCACCACAACCCTTTGATGCATAATAAAGTGTTATTTTGAGTGTATGTGGGTGTAATAACCGGCAACCGTGCGTTAACCCGTACCTGTAAATACTTCCGCACGTCGTTGATTTTCTGAAGTGTCTCCTGATTGGACGGAACGGACAGCTGTCTCTTGAAGGACCTCGACTCCCTCATTTCGTCGTCCTCGTACTCCTTAAAGGTCGTGCTACTTTGGGAGTGGCATATAACCCTCCCTTGTTGCTCTGTCCCGGGCTCCTCCTTCCCCCACGAGGTAGAGTAAACATTGGGGTTTTGACCGTGAGTTTCCCCCTCGGCGCCGGGGTACAGTGCCGCCGCCGCCGCCCCCCCCACCGCACCGGCTACCAGTCCCACGTTGTCCACCGAGTCATATGAACCTTCCACCGGGCTCTCCAGTTCAGCTTCAGAGATGTGAAGAAAAACATTCCTGAAATATTGTAAGAATTATGTTGAATAATTACCTGAAGCATCATGGGAACTATGTTGAATAATTACCTGAAGCATCATGGGAACTATGTTGAATAATTACCTGAAACACCATAGGTTATTTTACTCAATGATGTAACACTTAATGCTAACATAACCTACACTCATGCCCCCTGAACAAGTAGCACTAGATGGTTAATGTTCAGGTGAAATAAACTAAGGTGTCTAATGTTCAGGTGATTCAGACTCTCCTTCCCCACACACACACACCATACAGTACACAGGCTTCAAAATAGGTAAAAAGATACCCTGTATGTCTAAAAATAGTGTGAATTACGTAACATACCCGGAGCCATTGTGTACGGGGCTTTCAAAGGGGTCGGGCGTTGTTCCCCTCGACCCCTGCACGTGCTCGCTGAACGAAAAGTTGAAGTGCTCGTTGTGGTTGAGGTACGCAGGCTGGTGGTGGTGGAGGCTGGTGGGGTCAGGCAGGGAGATGCGTCTATGGGTACGAGTGGCACTCAGGCTACGTACTCGGGGGTGAAGAGCCGCATTTTGAGGGCATAAGTCCAGGGGGTCTAGTTCATCCAGGCTTCTCTCGGAGGCATTGCTCGCTCCGCTCAAGTTTCTCCGTCGATTCTGATAAAAATAATTATCGATGGTGGGGGGTTCGGGCGTACTCCCCCGCGGCCTGTACCTCGTCTTCACGCGACGGCGATACGTTGGAGAGAGAGTCACGGGCGACATAGTTCCATCCAGACTACCGGTGGACTCTGACAAAACCCTGGATAACGCGTGCATGTTTGAGAGTCCCCTGAAAGATGTGATAGACATCATTAATTAACGCTGCACCTCAATAACACGTTAAAAATGTTATAATGAAATATTTCGTCGTTTAGATCTTCAAAGAATACAGTAATCGGTTTCATACACCGCACAATATATCAAACACCAAGAGTCACTACCAAGCGATCAAGTATAATATACAGTCACCATTATACAGCACAGCCAACTCTCCCTAAATAAAAGAGAGAGAAAACATATTGCAATATTAATCAAGTTAATTTATTAGTCGCTAAAAAATGTGAAAAAATTTGCTGTAACGCTTCAAGTTTGGTTTAGTCTTGTAAGGTGAGTCATGGGTCATGTACGGTGGGTCGTTTTATTCAGGCGAGGCGACCACAACATACAGTATTACCGAAGATGACGGAGAAATTACCACACACAACAACCATAAATATTGGTGTTGACGATTAACTTGTTTGTATAGCAACTGGCTTTCCGTACATGAATATTAAACCAACTTTCCTCGCGTCTCAATTCCTGTTATCTTTTTTAATATTTTACAATTCCTTCGCCTGAAAAAACAGAATGATAATTTTCCTACAGTGCCTGACCTATGACGCACCTGTACAATAGTGTCACAATTAGTCCGTCTTACCTGCAATTAATAGGATGTTAGTAGATAGCTGTAATAATTCTTGACAATATTAGCTAGCAAGGAAGCCACAATTGTACCAGGCGCGTTGTCTTCAAACCCCCAGTCACCTATGTTGGTCAGTAGCATTTGTCAATATTTTTTCTTCGGAAGCAAAGCAAAGAATCCAAGGAGCAGCGTGAAAAGGTTTATTTGATGAGACAGTAAATATTACACAGAGCCTCACTCATGTTACAGTACGAAGATTGGTTGTGAGACTCAATAGGTTCAACCTGTCCTTAACCTAACTTAACCTGACCTAACCTAACCTACCTTAACCTAATGTATCATAATCTAAACTAATTCTTTTAATTTTTGTTATATGCACAACAGTACTTGAAGCGTGTAAAAGTTACCTCATGGAAAGTAAGAACTCCAGATTATTTCACCTAATGATTAAACACCTGAATGAAAACCTAACCTAACTCCTTCACTACGGGGCTGACACTTTTGATATTTCATTTAAGTAACGGCAGACAATTTTATTCCAGCAGAGAGAGAGAGAGAGAGAGAGAGAGAGAGAGAGAGAGAGAGAGAGAGAGAGAGAGAGAGAGCCCTGTGTGTCTAATCATCAGGTGAAATATATAAGGGTTCCTACTCTTCAAGAGATCCAGGAGTACCTAACATAATATTGTCCTTGATCTAAATTCTATATCACTACTGTATAAGCATTATGAGATACTGTAACATGTATTAACACATATTAGTACAGTACTGTAATATGAACCCAAGCATATTTCAACTGTGTACTGTTGAAAAGTAGGATTACATGATGATTAGGCACCCCAACTTATGTTACCTGATGATTGAATGTTCCAGTGGGTGATTAAAGGTCACTGGATTTTGTACGAGTAATGGTGTGTGGAGACTGATCACTGGACCTGAATTATCAACTTGGTAAACACTGTAATACATCTGGCATCATATGAGTTTAAACCACGTGACTGTGGGATCTACGAGGGCCTGAGGGTATGAGATCAAGTTATGAAAGTTGTAGAAAAAGTGGTGGTGAAATTAGTAAGGGAGAGAATGGACATAAACAAAATGGAGTTTGGGGACTACAGAGGCAGTAATTATGGCCAGGTAACTACAAGGGTAATGTCTCGGGAAGGAGAGAAAATATTGCTAAGTTTTTGTGGACTTGAAGAAGGTATTTGATAGGTTACCATGTGAGGTGGTCAAGTGGACAGTTAAAAGACTTGGGGTCGAGGAGAGTCTTGTTGGAGTAGTTATTATGACATTATATGAAGGCTCAAAACCTGCTGTGAGAATAAATGGTGAGGTGAAAGTGGGGGTTTATTGAGCCCCTTTTGTTTATCATGGTGCTGGAGGCAACATTATGGAACTTTAAGAACTGGAGTTGTTGTATGTTGATGACTTAGTGGTGACAGCAGATAGTAATGTAGAGACACTGGAGACATTAAAGTAATGGAGGATGGTACAGAAGCAATGTGTAATGTTGTGTGACAGTGAAACATAAGCAGTTAAAGAGGATGATGTACACAGACTTGAACAAGCTGAAATGAGAACAGTGAGGTGGATGTGTGATGTAACACAGTGAGAGGAAGTCCTGTTGAGAGTGGCTGAGTACTGAGAGTGTTGGTGAAGCTCTGAGTAGAGGCAGACTGAGATGGTTGAGGCAAGTGGAGAGAGAATGGAGGAGACTAACTGGCTCAAGAGAAGAAGTAGGAGAGCCAGGGGCAGGTCAACAAGTACAGGGGAGAGGTTGTAAGAAGAGTTAGGAGCCTGACAAGAGAGACTACAAGAGCCATGAAGAGCTGCCATCAGGTAACCTCAGCTAACACACACAACCTTGGACAATGGCTGGAAAAACACTGATGACGATGATGATGATATATTCACTTAACTACTAGTAACAGAAATAACTTGAATATTGATCAGATCTTCATAGAGAAAGTTTAATTATGAACTATACATGAAAAGAAAACCACAATATGTAATACTGTATATGTGTATCTAGAATATCTCATACAAATTAGTTAAAATATAAGGTGTTTTGAGTGTATGATGTTAGGAGAGAGTTACTGAGGGGTGGAAGAATTTGATGAAGGGAAGTTATGTGATCTATTAAATAAAATAAGGGGTAGGAGAAGGAGTTGTGCTGTATGAGGTGCTTCAGAGGCCACCCACCATACTGTTCCAAGGACTATAGAGAGAGATAAGAAAGAGGCTACCTTAAACACTGTATAAACTGTGATGCCAAACAGTGGTGCCATCTATTGAGGTTCCAGTTTACAAATGTCCGATACTTCCACGTACACCCGGTAAAGGATTATTCTGCACCTTCATGGGGGTAATACAGTACGACACACCGGACCATGAAATCTGATAACACTAATCAAGGCTTCTGTCCCAGTGATCGTCTCAGAGCCAAGGGTGTAGAACAGTCTTTAGTGAGTGTACATGTTGTTGATAGATACTTCAGGATAGTTAATCACATGTACTGTTCTGTATACTGTACCACAATACAGGTACAGTATACATTTTAAGGTACAGTACATAATGCATTTATCACCTGTGTTCCATACTTTGGGGAAATAAGTTTATCATAGCTAATTAAGAATGCATCAAAGTCACTCCCCAATTAGTAAATAAGAGACCAAAAGGCAATAAAACTCCCAGGATAACCTCAACCACACCCAAGCAACACACAAGCCATGGCTACAACTTTTATTTCAGAGTCAGCACAAGTTCCACCACTCAACATGTTATATTAGCCACACATACACACACAGAGGAAGATGCTTTGCTGTGATTTATATACAGGTATTAATATTCCATGCTATAGAGTATAAGAATAGGCACACAGTCTATATATTGTTTAAACAAAGGTATTTTTAGTTATCACCTGAACCCCTTTTTCCAATAGACACCGATGATGACATATTACTTGATTTACAGTAATTCATCCATATACACAATGTAATCTCTATTTAACAGATACGGTGAGAAAAATCCTTTATATCGAAGGTCCGTTAGATGTAAAACCCCCATCTAGCGGAATATATATAGAGAGAAGTTGGATATATGGACGTTTCACCGTACTGTACTGTATTATAATTATCTAAATTATTAACAATAGTGAGATCAAGAGTTTTCTGACTTAATGATAAAATCCAGAGAGAAAATACTGAGTGTTTGTCATGTAAATTTAATCCTACAACAGGTGTTCCTCCCTGGATGTCTCACTGTCCAACTCACCCCATAACAAATTTATGATGCATATTGATATTTTCTATACATGGTAATATTTATGACCACAAATACTACCACTAGAATAATTTAAAGGTTCAATTGAAATACATTAAAATGGTTATAATTTTAAATACAGTATAAAAGATAAGGTCAAGAGGACTGTATCATTATATGTAAGGTTAAATTAGATTAAAATTATACAGTACAGTTACTTAATACATCATGCTGGGTAATACATCAAGCTGGGTAACACACATCAAGCTGGGTAATAAATCTAGCTGGGTAAATGAACAATGAAAAGATAAGATGCACAAAGCCTGGATAAAATAATTTGTCGAATTACTACTGAAAAAAAATACGAAGAGGAAGAAGACTAAAATAAAATGAAAGATACATAGGAAGTGAAGGGGATAAAATTGTGTGTGTGTGTTGGGAAGACTTACTCCATATTTCCCTGGTTAGAAAATCATGCAAGGGTCAATAATGTACCCAAGGTGGAAACAGTGAGACTATGTATAATTTTAAGCTCTATGTATCACCTGAAGATTAGACACCCTCCAAGTCCCCCCCTGAAGATTAGGCTCCTAGATAGTTTCAAGGTGTTTAAATTTAAGGCTGGTTATGCTGAGGGTCTAATCTTCAGGTGAGCCATATTGAGTAAAACACAAACAAACTCCACCACACCCCTGAGCATCACTCGTCATAGCAACACCAATAACCCCTCAAAATTAAATTAACACCCGTCCCCAAAAGATCGTAAAAAGAAGAGGTAATATATCACACGTGTTTGTAAGATCGTATCGGAGGTAATGTTGATCTTACACGTTGGTCGAGTATAGGTGATGGGTTACAGGGAGAACATGGGTGAGAGTGGAAACAACACACACACCAAAGGTACAGTACTACAACATCTTAAAACACTCACTGTATAAAAATAACACTGATCTTTCTATATAATTCCACTTAATATAGATTGAAAGACGATGAAAATACTGTACTACACTAGTTTTACAAAAGGTCACATAGCATTATCTGGTGAGCGAGGAACTGTAAACACCTCTTATGTATTATTACGTTGTGTTACACCAGGCGTAGGGGAGACACTCGCAGTATGTGGTGTGATAATGGCTGTTTCAACCTCCTAATTACCTGTTGGTCTTGATAATCTTTTGTTACCTTAGAGTAATGCAGAATAGGTTTATAAACTAACCTAACTTAATCTTAGTAACTATTAAACTGTACCTTACCTAACTGGACTTTAAGCTGACCTAACTTAATTGTAGCTGACCTAACTCAACCTAAACTATTTCAACCTAACTTAACCTACCCTAACCTAACCTACTTCCATAAATGATACAGTGAAATCTCTATTCAACAGACTACCTGTATATAGAGAGGAAAGTTCATTATATCGAGGGTCCGGTAGATTTAAAACCTCCATCTAACGAACTATACAGAGGTGGAAAGTTCGTTATATCGAGGGTCTACTAGATATACAGTACCCCTATAAAACGAACTATATAGAGAGAAGTTCACTATATCGAGACTCCACTAGATATAATACTCTCAAACGTCAATGGACAAATACTTTCTTCACTAATTAAAACATTACCTTATAAAAATCTACGCCCCATGTTAACCCCGTGCTTAAGTTACGTCTGTAGTGCGTCAGTTTGGCTGTGATTGGTCAGTCCTGTGTTGTGTTTGGGTGGTAACTGTAGTGTAGTCTTGAAACACACTATCTGAGGTATGTTTACGTTGTTAAGAGAGAGAGAGAGAGAGAGAGAGAGAGAGAGAGAGATAAGGAGGTTAACATTGAAGTGAGTAAAGTTATGTTACAATGGCATTCACAGGTGGATGGACTGAGGTAGAGCCATCACCCTACATAAGGTACAGTGTATCCACCTGGCCACTGCTGCCTCTTTACCCTAAATGTTAAAAAAAACTTGTATGTAAAAAAAATCACTCTGGCACTGGGCCGATGAAAGACTGGCACTAGGTGGATGAGAGACTGGCACTGGGCCGCTGAGAGACTGGCACTGGGCCTCTGAGAGACTGGCACTAGTTTGTTATTTGTCATTTAACAAAGTTTATACGGCAGTGTTGAATCACTTCCCGCCTCCCGTCCACTGATACTAACGAAACTGGTCGTCCATTACTTATCACACAAACTATCACATAACACCATGGAATTAATTATGGCGACAATTCTATAATATTAATCATAAATTGAGATCAAACTAACTATAATTTATATATAAGTATATGTATGTATGTATGGCAGTACTTCAGGGTATACATGACCACTATCCCCTATAAATACATCACAAAGGTCTTCAAGTGCATGCCAAGGGTCCTACATGGTGTTCAGTGGCTCGGGGTTGAAGTAGAAGACTCGATCGAAGGCTCGCTGCACGAACTCGCACGCCTGCTTGCTCCCGTCGTCCGTGTGGTTCCGCCTCACCCTGCGAGAGACCTGCGATGGAACGAAGGAAATTAAATATGAAGCTCCAGTTTGCGATCGAAAGCCGTGAAAGACTAATAGTTTATGGGACGGTTTGGTAAGATTACCACATAAATACGAGTCTCAGAGCTGCCACAGGATAAATCAACACCAATTTTAGTGAGTTGTAATCTAAGCAAACTCAACCTAGTGTAACATAACCCAACCAAACACAAAATAATCTTATCAAACATAATGCAACCTTAACTAACCAAACCCAACCAAATGTAATCAAACAAAACAAAACCAAACCTAACCCAACCCAGCATAACCTAACCAAACCTCATGTCACAGTTCTCTTACCTTCTTCATGAGAGCATCGAGGTCCTCATTACAAGCATGGTTCATGAACACGTGGCAGATGGCCTCCATTAACCAGGACCCCAGTTTAGGATGACGAAACGACACGAAACCTGTAACGACGGGAGAAGCTGACACTTATGACCTAACAACGAGAGAGAGAGAGAGAGAGAGAGCAGAAACCTAGATAACTGATAAAGACAAAACACATAATAACATTAGGTGCCATGAGGATAGATCATGTGTGACAGCCAGCCAAGAGGATAGATCATGTGTGACAGTCCATTACCAAGGGGAGTGGACTATACCATGAGTAGTGCTCAGTGCTGTATTTAGACCTGTGGAGGCCCATAGGCAGCCTCTTTGTGGAGGCCCCCTTCATTATAACTACCCAAGAGGGTGGGGTGGGGAGTGAAGCGAGCCTAAACATCTGGGAGTTCCGGGGGGCGCTGTAAGCCCCCCCCCCCTCTCCCTGGGAAAATTTTGAAATCTGAACACTTCTTTGGAGAATTCTGAAGCCATATGCAGTTATATTGAGGAAATTAGAACATTGAGAAATTTTTAATTAACTGTATATTTATTGACAGTGTACAAATTCCCAACACACACAAAAGTGAGACATGACTGGAGTCATTCATGTGGTTTCAAGTCAACCAGCCCTGATATGTGGAGGCCCCTGGGCAGCTGCCCACTTTGCCCACTCCTGAATCCGGCCCTGACAGTGCTGAAGGTTTATGATGGGGTGATAGTTGTGGCTGATATAATACAGATACAAAGTTAAGTTATACTCCTGGGAACAAGTATCTGTTGCCTTACTGTTTATACTGTACCTACCTACACTGTCTAGGAACATTGGAATTGTATACTACCTACACAGCCTAGGTACAGTAAAACCCACATAATTCAAAATAGGGGCTGTAAACTTTATCAATTGTGAGGTTTTATGGAACATTGTGGATGACATCTTCTCCTGAGCGGGAAAAAACATACAAATAATGGTACTTTTCTGTCACGTAGAGAAAAATAAAAATGAAAGTAATTTTTTCCTTACCTTCAACAGTGGAGTACAGGATACACATGTCTGTATAAGTTGGGTCTCTGTGTATAATAACTTCGCCCTGGTTTGCAGAATCACAAAAGACGGGCATTCCTCGCTTGTTGACAACCCGACGAGGGTTTAGTTCCGCGCCCACGTCTGGTCCCGTACCCCTGCAAGTGGTGAATCGATCATAGCCCCCATAATGCTACGGTGTCTAACTCACAGGGTATTACAAGGAGTCCCTGAGTTACATTTCTGGGCTCTGTTCATAAGTCTATCTGTTCGTTCAGGTTAGGTCACACCACAAACCTACGCACACAAGACAACAATGACAAATACTGTAAATAAAGTGATGTTAAACAATATAATATAACAAATACAATTCTAATTACAGATTGCTGTGATGAACATATAGTAGGCCCCACAAGTTCACAGATGACACCCTGGATGTACCCAAGAATGTCTGCGGAAAGTTTTGAAGTTGCCGGCATTTACACGGCCGGGCCGGGGCAGGCGGGAAGGGGGGGGGGGGGTTCCTGTGGCATCCCGCAAGGTGTCTCTTTTGCCCCACGGAAGCTGGCCCACTCACGCCCCGCTCCATCCGTGCCTTGGTCCGGCCTAAACATTCGTAACCTCGCATGTGTTCTAGTCTGTTCTGGTAACAACTGCTCTGCTCTTGCTTGTGATGGCTCCCAAGCACCCTCAACCACCTTCATCCAGGCGTGGGAAGGAGCCCAAGCAAGTGAAGTGAGAAGAAAAGGTCATGACCCTAGTGGAGAAGATACAACTGCTGGACAAACTTTGGAGTGGCCAAAGCTCTGTCGCGTGTGGCCGGGAGTATGGCATCAACGAGTCAACTGTCCGCTTCATTAAGAAAAAGGAGAAGGAAATTCGTAATGCCGTTGCCCTAAGTGCTCCCTCTTCTGCCAGGGTAGCCACTAATGTGAGGGATACAGCCATGGTGAAGATGGAGAAAGCCCTTAACATCTGGATTGAGGACATTAACCACTGCCACAACTCTCTCAGCCAGAAGTTTATCCGTGACAAGGCCAAGGTCCATGAAGGTGGTGAAGGTGAGGTGAGTGGTGAAGGTGGTGCCAGTGCTAATGGTTCTGGTGATAACCCAAAGAATGGAACTAGTGCCAGTAAGGGCTGGTTTGAGCACTACAACCTGAGGATCACTGGTGAGTCAGCCTCAGCAGATGAAGTAGCAGCTAAGGAGTATCCTGCGATCTTTGCCGAGATTATCCGGGAGAAGGGCTACAAGCCGGGGCAGGTTTTTAATGCTGACGAAACTGGCTTGTGGTGGAAGAAGAAGCCAGCCAGGACATTCATTTCCAGGGAGGAAAGGAGTGCACCGGGCTACAAGGTGGCCAAAGATTGTGTCTCTCTCCTGTTATGTGGCAACGCTGCAGGACACACGATCAAGCCCATGCTGCTGTACCGTGCCAAATGTCCGCGTGTGCACTCAAGAACAAACACGTGCACCTCCTCCCAGTGCTCTACCACCACAACAAGAGAGCCCGGATGACGGCAGTGATGTTCACCGACTGGTTCCATAACTGTTTTGTGAGGGAGGTCAAGGATTACCTGCAGAAGAAAGGCTTGGTGTTTAAGGTCTTTCTTGTGATCAACAACCACCCTGGCCACCCTGAGGCCCTCGAGGTTGACAACAAAAATGTAGAGGTGATCCACTGGACCAGGGAGTCACTGTTGTCTCTAAGGCCAAGTACCTGACCCACACCTTGGAGGAGGACACACAGGATGGTGCCGCGTCTGTGCGGGAAATGTGGAAGAATTTCACCATCGCAGACTGCATCTCCTTCATCAAGCAGTACCATGATGACCTGACATCCCACTGTGTTAACTCCTGCTGGAGGACCTTGTGGCCAGAGGTGGTGAACGACTTCGCTCGCTTCCCCACAGTCGACGAGGACGTGCAGCACATCATCCGGCTTGCTCATCAAGTGGGAGGTGAGGGGTTCAACGACCTTCAGGAGGAAGAGGAACAAGAGGAGCTCCTGGGTCGTGCTGACTGAGCTCGTCGAACAGCAGCCCCACGATGATGAGGAAGGTGAAGTGAATGAGGTGCCCGCCTTAACTGTGACCAGCATCAATAGGGGCTTGCTGCTTGTAGGGAAGTCATCAACTACTTTTTAGGCGTCGATCCCTCCTCTAGCGAGAGATGAGTCAACTTCAAGAGAGCAGCTCCTGACTCTTATAAGGAACACTAAAGGAGCTGAAGCACCAGGTCGCCCAGCCTCCAATCTCCATGTTCTTCTTGCCTTCATCCACTCCAAGCCCTACAGCCTCAGCCTCCTCCTCCCGACTCTGATTCCAACATGGACAACCCACTTCCTGCCGGACCTCCTCCCCTGAAGCAGAGGAGGAGAACTTGTAATCCCCCTGCCCTCACCATCATTATATTCATCAGTGGCAGGGAGGGTAAAATAAGCTCTACATAAACAGCCAGCAAGGAATGGTGAATGTTAATCTATTTCTGTATAACATTTGTTATTTTTTGTTTGTGGGAATATTAATTCATTCCCCCAAGTAATGAAACAGTGTTTTTTTATTATGTTATTGCAGGAAAATGAACGGTTTATATAATTTGTTCATCACTGAGCCCGGACCATTTTCATAGTAGACGACAAAGTATGTTTTTCTCCCATACGTACTGTACACCTGGCTACAGTACTGAACGCCTGGCTACAGTACTGAACGCCTGGCTACAGTACTGTACGCCTGGCTACAGTACTGAACGCCTGGCTACAGTACTGAACGCCTGGCTACAGTACTGTACACCTGGCTACAGTACTGAACGCCTGGCTACAGTACTGAACGCCTGGCTACAGTACTGAACGCCTGGCTACAGTACTGTACGCCTGGCTACAGTACTGTACGCCTGGCTACAGTACTGAACGCCTGGCTACAGTACTGTACACCTGGCTACAGTACTGAACGCCTGGCTACAGTACTGAACGCCTGGCTACAGTACTGAACGCCTGGCTACAGTACTGAACGCCTGGCTACAGTACTGAACGCCTGGCTACAGTACTGTACGCCTGGCTACAGTACTGTACACCTGGCTACAGTACTGAACGCCTGGCTACAGGAGCGGGTAAGGGGAGTGAGTGACTACCAGTTAGTGCGTGGTCTACAGTTGTAACTCTCCTAGCTCCTTGCCATATTTCACTGGATATATCATTATTATTAGTGTTTACTGATATAATAGTGCTTAACAGTGATTAATGATGTCATTGTAGCCAGGTTAGCTCATCATTGTAACCACCAGGCTACTGGGCCAAGCTTTGAGGTGTTATGGTTTTTTCAACTCATATTTTGGGGCAGATACTGTACAGCATACATAACCTTCTTCATTTACATGCACACACCATCCTACATACATAATGTGAAAAAGTATACAGTATTACACCACAATTACCAACATCCTTCATGGTGGGTCGGCCAGATGGCAACTCAACTTCAATAACAAAGCACGGAGTTGACTTGAGGGTAGACTCACATTTTTCTATGTTGCATTTTGTTATCCTGTTTCTTATTACAGTATTTGTGAGAAGATTTCCCCAATATTATTTATTTGTATGCATTTTAATAATACCGTATAGTACTGTAATAATAATAATAATTATAAAATGGTTTATTAACAGCATGGCAGCCAGAAGGCTGAAAACATACAGCTACACGATTGGGGAATGGGTCTCTTGATTGACAAATAATGTAAGTGAGACAAATATGATGTACTTTATAATAATTAAGTGGGGAGAAGGTCATACTACAGGCCATTTCAAAATAGTAACAGGGCAAAAATGTAAGATTGGCTGGTAGTGAATACACTGGTTGATTACAAGTTGTTGATAATTTTTACAATGGTTGGGACTGGGCTGTTCTTATAGCATGTATGTGTCTACACACACATATACTGGGCTGTTCTTATAGCATGTGTGTGTCTACACACACATATACAATACAGGCAAAAGAAATATTTGTTCTAAGGACAAACACATAAAGGGAATATACATTTCTTTGTACATAAGTAAAAAGATAACCCCCCCCCCCCGGTCAGCAAATGTTATTAGCGGTTTTGGCGATTCGCGGCTATTTTGAGAACCTAACCCCCGCGAATTTGGGAGGCTCCCTGTCTTGGGATCCCACTTGGAAGGGGAGCGTTGGTAACCGAGGGAGTGGCCGTATTTATCGCCCCACAAGGCCCGGGCATTAAACTTGTAAGAAAATAGTTATAATGTCTCCTAATTCCTGGACCCCAAGCACTGGACACTACTACCTGTTCCCTCTGACTACATTACTCATCAATAAAATACCTGTACCTTAAAACTAACAATGACACACCTGCAATACTGGAAAATGAATATCTTAGGCTTTCCAATGAGGGCCGGGCACGACTTATTATTGAACACCTCGACCACATCGTTCACCGTCAGGTACTGGTTGTCGGACGTGTAGAAGGACTTGTGGTCGTGTCCGTGGCTCATGACGATCACTACGCACGAATCTACCTGCGACAGTTCCGGCAGAGACTTGAATTCTCTCAACGCCTGTATCGTCTCCTGAAAGCGAGCGAGTGTTAGTGTTTGAGGTGAGGTGACCCCCACAAGACCCTTATCTAACCTAACCCAGTTCCACTCCAGTAGTTTCTGATATACAGTACTCACATATTTGGTCAAATTCATGTGTTGTTTGGGTATCTTATAACCCATTTGTGTAAACAGGAGCGACAGATTCTTGACGTCGGTTTCCGAGCCGATGCGAATGGCGTGTTCGTCATCATGAAAGTTCTTATAGTTGGCCAGGAAGACTAGTCCCCGAGGCATTGTGAGGTTCCTGTACACCTGAGTAGAGACGGTCACAGTGTTAGCCATGGCCAATAACACATTATTATGATTTAAATGGCAGCCATCATCAGTGGTAATTAGGTGTAGGGATGGCAGCCAACATCACCTGAAGATAGCCCCCCCCCCAAGTGCTCACCTCATGATTAGTCCCACAAAGTCCTCACCAGATTAGCCCCTCAAGATTAGACCTACCCCAAGTGCTCACCTGAAGAAACACCCCAGCCCAGCCCAACCAGCCTCAGGTTTTACCACCCTGAAACAACGGCGTCGTCTGTGGTCTGGACTACACCCCTAACCATCCACACACACATACTCACCTCCGAGGGGGACAGGTCACGGCCGCCCACCTCCCTATAGGGTACAACTACTATTTTCAGCGGCAGTTCTGGGTTGTTGTTGTCGGCGCTCCCGTTATCAGAAGCTTGAGGACATCTCTCCAGGTCTAGGGTAGGAGGGCGGGGGAGGGGAGGACAGCGCTGACCGTTGTGGATGTGAGGTAAACGCTGAAGGTCGTCCAGCTCGTCACTTTCTCCGCTGAAAAATAAATACAATGAACAAAGATATAAATAAATAATAAACACAATGAGATTTTTTTTAATCCAGTATTTACAAACAGAAACAAACACACACAGAGGCTGACATATATGGTGATATTTTTAACTCGAGTTTGTGTGGGGTGGATGAAGGGAGCATGTGTGGGGTGGATGAAGGGAGCATGTGAGGGGTGGATCAAGGGAGCATGTGAGGGGTGGATCAAGGGAGCATGTGTGGGGTGGATCAAGGGAGCATGTGTGGGGTGGATGAAGGGAGCATGGATGTGGGGTGGATCAAGGGAGCATGTGGGGGTGGATCAAGGGAGCATGTGGGGGGTGGATCAAGGGAGCATGTGGGGGTGGATCAAGGGAGCATGTGAGGGTGGATCAAGGGAGCATGTGGGGTGGATCAAGGGAGCATGTGGGGGTGGATCAAGGGAGCATGTGGGGTGGATCAAGGGAGCATGTGTGGGGGTGGATCAAGGGAGCATGTGTGGGGTGGATCAAGGGAGCATGTGGGGTGGATCAAGGGAGCAGAGGGTGGATCAAGGGAGCATGTGAGGGGTGGATCAAGGGAGCATGTATGGGGGTGGACTAAGGAGCATGTGGGGTGAATCAAGGGAGCATGTGTGGGATGGATCAAGGGAGCATGGAGGGTGGAACAAGGGCAGTTTGGGGTGGATCAAGGGAGCATGTGGGGTGGATCAAGGGAGCATGTGGGGTGGATCAAGGAGCATGTGAGGGTGGCTCAAGAGGCAGACTGCTTATCTAGCGTCCTTAGTCTGGCCAACACTACGAGGTTATGATCGGGGGGGAGGGGGGGGGGTGTCACGGGTCGCTCCGGGAGTTTCGCCCCGACGTAAACAAACAAAGAGCCACTCCCCGCCGTCTCTTGAGCTTGGAGTTACCTCATGCTGCCCCTGTGTCTCTCGTAGGTGGGCAGGTCGACCATCTTGACCAGGGGAGCCAGTCCTAGCTTCAGCAGCACCTCCAGGAAGCTCGTGAAGGACCCCGCCTCACACTTCTTCAGGTAATTGAGTAGAGACCGCACCTTCATGGTCTTGGTGGTCTCCTGTCTCTGTAGGTTATAGGTAAAACACTTAGGGGTGTAGATGATAGGTCATTTAAGCTGGGGTAGAACTGTGGTAATCTAAGCTGGGGTAGAACTGTGGTAATCTAAGCTGGGGTAGAACTGTGGTAATCTAAGCTGGGGTAGGACCATGGTAATCTAAGCTGGGGTAGGACCATGGTAATCTAAGCTGGGGTAGAACCATGGTAATCTAAGCTGGGGTAGAACTGTGGTAATCTAAGCTGGGGTAGGACCATGGTAATCTAAGCTGGGGTAGAACTGTGGTAATCTAAGCTGGGATAGAACCATGGTAATCTAAGCTGGGGTAGAACCATGGTAATCTAAGCTGGGGTAGAACCATGGTAATCTAAGCTGGGGTAGAACTGCTGGCACCTCACCCACCTGTAAAGTATCGGCTACTGAGCCAGGTATGACGCCCATTGTTTTCAGTTCGTATATGAGGTCCGCTGTTCTGCCCGCGTCCACCACCTCCCTGGCGATGGTCTCCTGGTGCTGGCCGAGGACCTCTTTATCTCTCTCGTCCATTGTGGATTCCGTTAAACCTCTGTTCAGAAAAGAAAAAGTCAAAATAATTAGTAATGTGGAATTCATATAATTGTGGTCACACGTTACAGTTAATTCATTTCATCTCAGTGGCCTGCAAGAGTGGCCAAAATCCTTCGTCCGTTGACTCATATTGTCTCAACACAATTTTGTATAGAAAGTTTTGAGTGACTGCACTGTATTTTTTTACGACTACCTTACAATGAATCGCAGGTAAACACAACCCACCCCTCACTTATGACACACCCTGTACACCCTCACTTATAACACACCCTGTACACCCTCACTTACGGCACACCCTGTACACCCACACTTACGGCACACCCTGTACACCCTCACTTATGACACACCCTGTACACCCACACTTATGACACACCCTGTACACCCTCACTAACGGCACACCCTGTACACCCTCACTTACGGCATACCCTGTACACACCTGTCACCCTGTACACCCTACACACCCTGTACACCCACACACGGCACATCCTGTACACCCTCATATAGCTGCACACACACACTTCACCCTGTACACCTTACTGCACACCCTGTACACCCTCATGCAAACACCCACCACACTTATGGCACACCCTGTACACCCACACTTACGGCACACCCTGTACACCCTCACTTACGGCACACCCTGTACACCCACACTTATGACACACCCTGTACACCCTCACTTATGACACACCCTGTACACCCACACTTATGGCACACCCTGTACACCCTCACTTATGGCACACCCTGTACAGTGTACACTCTCAATTATGACACACCCTGTACACCCTCACTTATGGCACACCCTGTACACCCTCACTTGTACTGGCTCTCTGTTACACACTGGTGACAAGTACTGGACATGTACTGGCTCCTGAATGTACCTGAACCTGCTCCAGTGTTGGTCAAGTCTGGTCTTGAAACAGCTCACACTCGGTGCCGTCACAACACTCTCTGGTCGGTTGTTCCAACAGTTCACAATTCTCACTCCCAAAAAGTTTGCCCTCACAGTTTTCTGGACTTGTGGCTTCTTCAATCTTGAGCTGTGACCCCTTGTGGGGCGAGCGTCCGCCAGCTCCAGGTCAGGACACTCAACTGAGTAGTGCCCCCTGAGATGTTTATACACCTCAACTAGGTCCCCCCTTGCCCGTCTGTAGTATAAGCTAGGCAAGTTCAGGCGCTCCAATCTCTCAGGGTAGCTGAGGTGCCGAAGTGCAGGCACCAGTCTGGAGGCCCTCCTTTGAACATTTTCAACCAACTGACAGTCCCTTGAGGCAGAGGTGAGCAGGCACAGGGGCCAGGGCTTCAGCACACTCCCTCAGAACACGGGTATTACGTCCGGTCCATGCGCCTTACTCACAGTCTACCCAGATAACACATTTCCTCTCCACCAACAAAACATCCTGTATTCATATTATCAGATAACATGAAGATTATGCAACCCAGTTCATTTACTGACATGTTTATACACAACACCACAATGCTAACCTACCATAACTTAACCTTACCTTATGTAACCTACCATGACTTAACCCCAGAGGTAACATGAGGGTATTTAACAATCAGGTGAAATAAATGAGTAAGTAATCTTGCCACAATTCAATACATTACAAGTACCGGGGCTTACTTCACAACGGAGATAACACGGAAAATATCTCGCAACTGGTGCATGTCTGGACAACTAAACGCACGTATAGATACACATACTGTACACATAACTATACGCACAGATAGATACACGTACTGTACACACAACTAAACGCACATATAGATACACGTACTGTACACACAACTATACGCAGATAGATACATGTACACACAACTATACGCACAGATAGATACATGTACACACAACTATACGCACAGATAGATACATAAATGTGATATTTATAAAATATAATTACTGCATATTAAATACTGTACTGTAATATTATTATGTTCTTGTCTGTAAGTATCATTTTAGTTTATTTCATCATAAACCACCATGTTATATTATGTTGTTTACTCTTTGAATTGTTACAACATTTACTTTTGTGTTATTTCAGATATGTAGTGAAATGATTCAGGTACAGCTTGGATGTCGCAACCAAGTGTTTTATTTACCACGATACGTGTTACTGCTTATCTGAGCGAGCTTCCTCTCTCTCTCTGCCTTATCACACACCAACATCCACCCTTTCTGAGTACTGTACTGTGTTGCACTCCCACAATAGCCCATCCACACATGAAGATTAGGCACCCCAGCTTATTTAACCTGATGATTAATAATGTAGTGTTACCTTCAGCGTTGACAAGTTTTTGAGTGTACATAAACTACAATATCAGTCCCCCTGATGGCCAAAAAACACACTAGACTGAAATGAAGAACTTAAATGATAACCTCAATACAATATTCCTGTTTTAAAATATATATTTCATACTTGTGAATAATTTTTGAAAGATCAGATCAACAGAGATAAACCAGCATTTTTCTACTCTGATAACTGCATCTGTTATAAGGTAGGGTTATATATGCCTGCCTTCATGTGCCATGTACATTACGGTTGATTAAAACATCACATCATAAAAGTATGTCTCATTTTATAAGGAGTGGGTCATTGAGCCCTGCCAAGCCTTATTTTGTTCCTGTTCGGACAGTTGATCTTTTTGTTACTTTGTTATGAACTTTATTATCCATTGTTAGTTTAATAAGAACATAAGAAAATAAGGAGTCTGCAATAGGCCGGTTGGCAGCTTCTGTTGAGAGTTACTACCACTCTCTATCATCCATGAATCTATCCAGCCTCCTTTTAAAACTTTCCAGCATTCCAGCACTTACTACTAAGTTGCTAAGCTTGTTCCACTCGTCCACCACCCTATTTGTGAACCAGTTCCTTCCTCTACTGTACAGTTCAGGTGGAAACTGTAGTACCCACAGAAATCCTGCCAGAGTCCCACGTGTCCAGGGCGGGATTAAACCCAGGACACTATACTGTACTTCACAAAAGTTAGAGGCAGGCAATACTGTACCACCATACCACTAGAACCCCCAATTACTTTGCTTTAATTCACCATTAAGAGCAGAGGATGTGAGGTTGTGTCCTATTGGCCATAAAATGAAGTGGAGTACCACAAGCCTTTATCCTTGGACCCATCCTGTTTGTCATCTACATTAACGCAGATGAAAATATACCAAGCCACATTATCAAGTTTGTGGATGACACAAAGATATTTGAGAAGATAGCAAGTCAAAACGATGTCAAAACAATGCAAAAAAAAAAAGAAAAGAGATTTGCACAAGCTGTTCAAATACTGTAGTTCAGAAGGTGTCAGGATGCACCAATTAAACTGATGTCAACTACCCAGACTGGCAGTCACATTTGTTGTGGAGTCAGCTTTGGAGGATCAAGGGCAGTTCATACACAGGGGTTAGATTTTGGTGGGCTGACAGCTTCTGCCAAATGATAAATGGCTTTATTTAATACAAAAATGACAATAACTTCAATACAGTCAACAGATTCCCCCATGGCTGTAAATCAAAGAAATACAACTTAAGTTCGGAGCTGATATCTCATAACGTCATGAGCGGCAAAAAGTGAACTCGGGTGTTATTGGGTGGTGGCTCAAACACATGGTCTTAGTACAATTTTCACCACACTTAAATATAAATGAAGCGTTGATCAACATATACAAACTGAATCTTGAATGCTTCAGCTACAGGCAGGTACAGTATATACATAGGGTGCCAGTGAAGTTGGCCCTTGGTGATTTCGGTCCATTTCGGTAATCTCGTTCAACATTGATACAAACAGTCAAGCTTTAAATATGAGGCTGTTTTTTCCAGTTATAAGGAGAGATAATACATTTTTTATACAAGTCCCTTAATATATCATTATTGCATTTTCTGTGCTGCCATTCATTGCAGATATCACACTTTACGTAGCGCTTCTCGTCGTTCTCAAACTTCCGATTCACAAGCGATTCGATTCACAAAATTCGAAATTTACTTGTTTTAATATCAGGCTGACACCTCACTTCTCCCACCACAGTGCTCACAAGTCACCAGCAATGGCTTCAAGCAATACCTGTGTTGCTTGTGAAGTGGGACACCGACAAGAAGCGCTACAGTGCGACTTCTTTAATGCACGGAAGCACAGAAAATGCAATAATACAGGGATATCAAGAGACTTCAATCAAAAAATGGTTAAGGGACAAACGGATCTACCAATCTGGAAATGCTCAAGGTGTGAAGCTGAGGTCCACAACACAGCTCAGAACACTGCAGGAACCCAACACAACGAGGAAATGTGCCAAGTCCACGACCTAGACTGATTAAATGTGCAGCAACTGTTGGTGACCAGTTCATTCCTGGACCCCAATATAATATAATAAAAGCTTACTTAGCTCCCAAATTATTACCCCACCAACATGCAAGGTAACTAAACAACGTAATTTACACCCAATATCATTATCCATCACTCAGCTTTTATACGTAAACACAAGTAACAAATATTCTACATTACTCACCTCTCATAAGAGTTGGTGTACAAGTATAAGAGATGAAATGAACCGGACAGATCACAGGACCTCCCCCGTCCACCTCTTTGTGTTGTTGACTTGTCTTTGTTGCCGTAGCAGTAGTAACCAAACTATCGTACCTTCAAGTGGGACGTTATTGTACAGTTCATAGTTTATCGTACCTTTATGAACAATAATAATAATAATAATAATAATAATAATAATAATAATAATAATAATAATAATAATAATAATAATAATAATAATAATAATAATAATAATAATAATAATAATAATAGGTATCCATTCAGTTAAATCATCATATCAGTTTGCAGTACATTAGTTGATTATATACATACACACTGCATATACTATTATACCAACAATATACAAGACAGTGTAGGTATATTAATAAAAAATGGTAATAAGTAGATCGATTGAATAAAAAATCATTAAAATGACAGCAGTGACTCGGCAGTGAGTGAGCTTTAACACTTAACCTGCCACAACATATTAAACACAACCTACACCCACTTGAGCAGAGATTTGATGCCATAATACTACTGATTCCCATAAACTTTGGTTATTTAAATGGAATCATATACTCGTTAATTATAAGAGAAGATTGTCGATATAGAATAAGGCAGTTTGATGTGGTGTACAATGGCCTCAATCACGATATTAAAGCGTTTTATTTGATCAACTTATGATTAATGAAAAGCCCTATGAAGTATCTCCATACCTAAATAAATACAAAGTTCTTTATAGTATAGCTTCTTACATAATTATAATGATTCTTAAAATGTACAGTTTTTGATCACTCTGACCTGATTCTGATGTTGAAATGAATAGTCTCCAGTTTCTCAGAGCCTAGTCATGTTTCAAGCCTAGACGATTACTGTTAATATAAATATAAATAAAAGAAAACTTAATAAATTCACAACAGATAATTTTCTGGTTTAATTTGTGGTAAATCCTGGTAGCTGTAATTTAAGAACGAGGGATTCTTTAATTACAGGTCTAAGTTCTGTCTCCTACAATTCTTAATTATTGAAAGACTAGTGAAAAATACTGACCTTGTTACGTGCTTCGAAAAAACTTAATTCTCGAAATATAATGATCCAACGGGTTCTAGTGGTCAAGTCCCTACCAGTGTTACAGATTCACTACTGGCTGACAGACTGTGTGTGTGTGTGTCTACGTGTAGTAAAGGCTCTTGGTGTACTGTAATCTCTTAATCAACAGTGATGTAAAAGGTAAGTGTACATTAGCTATATTGCGTCCTGTGATGTCATTTAGTTATGTAATTTATAGTGTTCGCATCAAAGGTCAATGTTACCTCCAGTAATTATCCCGTTATTAAGTGTGCAACCGATAATAAACTCAGATCAGAGGTAATCAAGGCTTAGATATAATACAAATACTACCAAATTCACCTTGACA